GCAGAGACAAAAGGGTCCATGTTCCTTCCTTGAGGAGTTGATGTGCTACTGAGATGAGTAATACCTCAAGATGGTCATAAAAAAACCAGTAAAGAGCCAGATGTGGGACGTCAAGACACTTCCAGGATCACCAGATCAAATACAAGTCAATGTAACGATTACTTCATACTCAGTTCAGAAATAAATTAATACCTTTGAACAGTGTTATGAGCCAGCAGAGAGCCATAACTCATAGTGTTGGCTGCACTGGACATTTCTCTGATCAGGAGTTTGGATGAGATAGGGCCTAGCCTTAAACTCTTGACTTGGGGCCAATTTTGTTCTGATGCCACCATGCAAACCATTAATTTTCTGACATGGTCTTCAATTTCCTAGTCTGACATCATGGTGTACTTCTTCCTCACCCCCTGTTCTTTTTTGTGTAGATTTTCTGTCTACCATTATATTTTGGCATTATGCCTTCACTCTTGACTATAAACCTCGTGGTTATGCCATCTAGCAGGGGTATGAGCCTTCTCAGAGTCCATTTGTGTCTGACAGAGGTGAAATAATTAAAATTCCTCCCTCAGCACACAACTCCTAAGGCAGGTATCTTCAGAAACCCAAAAGCATGCTTTTTTCCTTGTCTAAAATGTATGTAAGTAACTACTCTTCCTAGAGTAGAAATGAGAAGACCTTTGTATGGCAACCCGTTTGCCCTTATGGCAGCAGATGAACAGTGGCCAGGAGTACTGGACAGGTAAGATTAATACCAGTTTAGTGTTCATGTGAGCACAACCCAAATTTAGCTAGGGCAGTATTTCTAAATGAGTGAATCCCAAGATTCACATTTTGTACTTGGTGCTGAGTAAACAAACACATTGACCTGCACACCGTGAATCATAACTGTGCTTTTGGGAAGATGGCAAGGAAACAGCAGTAAAGCAGTATGTTGTAGGAATTAGGAAGGTTCAGAGGAAATTGTTTATATGGGAGACAACGTGGACAAGAAATGAAATTCCAGCTCCCGAGTTTTTTCTTCTAGGTAACTGCTATTGTTTGGAGCCATGAAGGTCAGGCAGTCCTTACACAGCCATGCTTCCTGCACTCTCCTCCCACTTGAGCGTACTGCGCTCCTTCCTCCTCCCCAGGTTATGGCTCCCTCCACAGCTGGAGATGGTTCTGGGCAGGCCATTTGCCTCTTCACTCTCCACACCATCTATTTTCATGCCTCTGTATTTGATGTTAATTCTGGACATAGAGATCCCTTTCCACGTTGTGACAAGTCCCCTAAAAACCTAAGTTGTTGGTTTAAATTACCATTTAAGGCATTAGTCATTTAAGGAAGCTTGTCAGAGTCACCAGCCAGCAATAATATACTTCTTATATGCAAACAGTCTCCCAAATAATAAAATAGTCTTCCACGACCCATTCTTCTCTTTGTTGTAGATGGATTTTCTGGGGATGTAATGGATCTTCAACACAATCAGGAACAATAAGACAATGACACAAGTTTAGCAATTGCTTTGCGAGATTAGGTTAATATCATGTAAAAAATGGTTCTCAGATTCTGCACACAGAAAGGTTTATGTAAAATATATAAACATTTGTCCAAGTTGTTACAGATTGCATAAATATGGCATTTTACCGTTGCATTTACAGATGTGCATGTACAATGATGTGCAAATAATCACAATCTGATTACAATCTTTGAAAGGTACTTGAACCTTGCATCCAAGTAACGCAATGAATGAAAAATGCCCACCAAAGAATTTAAATAGCAAACTTATAACATGGTTTAAATTCATAACAAATTTCAACGTCTTATCAGTAAAACTTTCACACATTTAAAATATTTTGTATTCATTTTATTTGTATATGTCAAAATACATTTTTTTTTTCCAAAATAGTGGGTTTTGCAACTAGTTTCATGCAGATACAAGGTCTGCTCAGTACTACCAATAAAATCAATATAGCACAGTAGCCATTCATTTTTTAGATATAAAGAATAAATAACCTAAATATAAAACACTAAAATATTAGAAACACGTATTTAATCATTCACAGGCACCCAAACTTTACCAAATATAATCCAGAATATGTCTAACTGTCTTGTAACAGAACTCAATATGTTGCAGCCATTCAATTCTTTATGTTAGCATAAGACAATGGAAGTCCCTATGGTTCAGACCCACCTCTCATACAGATCAATTACAATAAGATATCTCAAACTATCCGTGTACCTTTAAAATCAAAAATCCTGAGCTTGGTAGTAAGAGCATTACCTTACATCTTCAAAAAACCAATCAACAGAGAGAGGACATCATGTCTTCCTTACCAAAACATATCCCACCCCTGGTAAAGCTAACCCTCCCTCTCCCCCAAGTAGGCAGTAGGACACAACCTTTTTAAATGAAGGGGTACAAATTCACATTTAATATAGTATACAATATAATCAATAATACAATAGCTACTACAAGCTTTACAATGTACAATTTGTATTAATGGCTGATCTGTTCAGTGGTTTTAGGCAATAAACTATGTGCCAATAGGATGTCATATTTTGAATGGTTTAGTGAAAATATAAAAGCTGTTCCTAACAAAAACGATCTTAAGTACTTTTTTGTTTTTAAAGGCCACTGAAATGTATAAAATGGTCTGACATGGTGTTATCAAATTGGATGCCTTCTCACATGGCAACAACAGTGCATATAAACATTATTGTGAGTGTAATGGGTTATGCTTTTCAAATGATTTAGTACATTACTTTGGCTAGCACAACAGTTTTGGACAGCACTCAGATAAATACAGGTATGTGAAATGTAGTGAAGCAGTTATATTTATGCATTTTTTATTATGGTGAACACTATCAAATGAAAAAAAAAAATGGGACAAAAAGATAATAAAGTTTTTATATAGTTTAGACCTTTTGTAAAGATAGGGCTCCATACAATGTACAATGTCTAAATTCTTTATACCATAAAAATTAACGAACTTTGTTAAACACACTATTCTGGATAGCCTAATTTGCATTAACAGACATTTGCAATAGGGAAATATATTCAAGCATGCCACGTGGTGGTCTGAAAAATCAAACCAGTACACATTTATATATACAGCATCACTCAGTACCTGCTCAAATGAATGTGACGATTACAGGATCTAACGTCTTTCACTACAAACTTCTTTTTTTTTCTTTTTTTTTTTTTTTAAAGTGACCAATAAAGGCAGAAAACAGGACTCTTAAAATATTTCTAGTTTCAACTGACTTTTAAAGCATTTGTATAGGAAGTAAATGCATATTGCACAAACAGTGAAAGCAAATGTTCCACCAAACATCTCTGTTCCAGGTGGTTGGACAATACAACTCTAGTTAGATAACACAAATTATGTAATTTAAAAGGGTGTGTGGTCTCTGCAAATGGTAAAGCTGTGAAAACACTGTACAAGAAAATCTGGTACACAAAAAATTAGAAGGGAAAAAAAATCCAAACTTAAATCTTTAAGAAAAACTGAGTATTAGGAAAAAAAATGGGAATTGTGGCACAACAAAAACATTATTGAGTAACTGTCGTCTGTGAGAGCTGAAAGCTTTTGTTGATGTAAAGTGTTTATGTACAACTAAGGCTTACTGGTTAAATATCTGAGGCGTATCTGGCCTTGAATACTTTCCTTATTATGCTGTGGCTGTAAACAAGATTTCTCAGTCATTTTATCTTCTCAGCAGCTGCATTTTAACAGAAACAATGATCTCGATACAAAAAAACACACAGGTAAGAGGGTGTTTGGCAGGATATCTGAAAATGACAGTCTCCGAAGGATCTTCCCACACTTCCAGTGACTGCCACACCATGGTCCACTGGAGTTACTCGTGATGTGCAATACTGTAACTTGCTGCTGTAGTAAACCTTTTATTTGGAAAGTTTGCTTATAACTCTGATCAAGGCCCCATTTTCATCTTTTAGCCTCTGGTTGTCTGCCTTCAGGTCTGGTAGCATCTATGAAAAATGAAACATGGTGGTTATTTGTTGTTACACCCCAAGTAAAAGCAACAAGACTAGACAAGGACTGTGAGTCAAAATATTCAGCTTAAGTATCCTGGCAGTACTCACACTTCATATCAGCAGTTCAGAAAAATCTCCCCTTTTAGCATGATACATTTAAGGGTTAGAAATTAGAAGTTTTCATTTGCTTGGACTAGATGCACTAAAACTCAGTGGTGCAGATGACCAGCCTCTGACAAAAGCATTTATAGTAGAATGAGGAAAGTAATGAAATACTTCAAATTCCAAGGGGAAGGAAGGGGGCAGGGGGAAATTAACTACCAACAATTTAAAGAGGCTTTTCTATACTGCATTTGTAGAGTCTCAAAAAACCATGCTGTGGCTAAGCATCTCAACCACTGTGCCCTTGGATGATTTCATCCTCATCAGATACAGTGTGATTCAGCTTGTTAGCTCATCGCATTAATCCTCCAACCACTTCCAAAGTCATGTTGAAGCACACATCCTGTAATTTGAGATCATGTCCCTGAATAGCATAGCTCACACAAGATCAGATCACTGAAACAGATCACAGCAACACCAGGCTACACACTCAAGCAGACAGGTTAGGGAAGGGCAAGATACGTCTGCCAAAGGAGATAGGTGACACACAAGCACAAAAGCTGCAAGGCAGAAGCCAAACGAGGTGAGAGTTGGACTGGATCAGACAGGAAAGGAGGACAAGTCAGGGCATAGAAGTTGGTACTGGGAGAATTCAGTTTCCAGAGAAACCAGAAAATATCTCAGCAGTTCTCTGTACCTACATTCACACACTGATAACAAAGGACCTATCACACTCACAGCTAAATTACACCTATGGGTTCTAGCAGGGGTTTCCCACAGGAGGTAATAGCCTATTCCTGCACAGTGGTCACTCAGTAACCTCAAGTGCAAGTGTATGCAGGAAGTTCAGCTACCAACCTAGGTAACACCTGTTACCCTATTCTTCATTATTTTCTTGGTACTAGATTATTTTCATTTTATTTAAGCAAAATTATACTTTCAATCCCATTATATTCAGAACATTATGGAATGAATGGAACAGAAAGAGCCAGGAAGTTTAAAAATGCAGGGTGAATTAACTGTGCGCTAGAGGTTTCATTTCCACATCTCCTGTCCACACTCACTTCACTGAACTGCAGACTCTTTCACAGTGAATCACGATGGTGAACTGAAAATTAATGAAGTTGTAGATCTCTAGTTTATTTCCCTGGAAATATCAAATTATGTGAAAGGAAGTTGACAGGAGATCATAAGAAGAAGAAAGGTGGTCTCTACAATTAGAGTAGTCAAAAATAATTCAGCTATCCTTGATTCCAACTGTTTTATGGATGAGCCTAGGGAAAGCCACCCAAGTTGAGCTCTTTAGAGTCACAGCGAAGCGTCCAAGTGAGAGCTGTGCTCTGAACAAAAAGAGATGTAAAATGCTGATTACTTTCAAAAAGTATGTAAATATGTTTGAAATTGGGCAACATGAGGAATCTTTTTGCAATTGTCAAGCATTATTGTTTAAGTCTAAGCTGTAAAAAATAGCTACTGTTGTCCAAGATACGGGTCATATCCAGATAACATGCATGTGTCTGCAAACAACAGAACAGCCATTTGTTCAGGCAAACCAAACAAAGGCTTTTCTTCCTCCTTTCCATTCTGCTACAGATTTCATACCAAAGGTACTGGGTGAAACCACAACAACCCTCATCTAGCCATGCAGAAGGAATCAAGGAAGTCTGTTTTTGTACTGGTTAAATAGGTACCTTGAGTAGTGTTGTGTGTGCATTCCAATGAAACCTCAAAATAAATCCAGGAATGTCACAGTCCTCTTTCACTTTACTGAGTAGGGAGGGAGCTGCAGCCCATAATGGTTAATTACATAGAGACAGACCCACATAGAGGTAGATTTTCTAGTGAACTACTTTAACAAAATCCACTGTTCAAAATTAGAGCTTTAACATAAGCCAGTACCATTATATATCTCCAAATCTCTGTAGGTAGATTTTAACCCTGATTCAATTAATAGGTAGAATAGGTCTTAAGAAAATATCTTCTCTTTTGTTTGAGTGTGCTAGAGCACAGGGGAAGACTTGTAAGAGACAAAAGGATTATACGACAAGATAAAAAGGCATTGACTTGCACTAGGAGAGGTTTATATTGCATAGTAGGAAAAATTTCTTCATCAAGATGGTTGTCAAGCAAAACTGCTCAGGGAAGTTGTAGAGTCACTATCCCTGACAGCATTTAAAAGATGCGTAGATGTGGCATGCAGGGCATGGTTTAGGGGTGGTTGTGCTGGGGTACTGGTTGGATTTGATGATTTTAGAGGTCTTTTCCAATCTAAATAATTATATGGTTCTGTGAATAGCAGGAGATTCATCGGGAAGGATAAGCACATGTAACCTAAAATACTTACACTTCTCATTTTTACTAATTCCCCACATAATTTAAACAAAATATTATTTAATCTCTTGGGGCAGTGCATTTCTATGGGTACTGAAACTTCTCATAAGGTGACACCATACACTTTTCATGACGAGGGAGGAAAAAAATGCCTTTGTAGTAAATTCAGTAACATACTGCACTTCGAATTCCAATTTGCTTCTCACTAAAATAGCAGAGTATCTTCCTGTGATACGATTCAAATAAAAATGCACTCTTTTTCTGTCTGTAGCATGATTAGCTAGTAACTTTGCAGTATTATCATTTAGCAAATAATGATTCAATAATCATCTGACATATGTGGAGCCATCTCAGATCTGTTAAGTAACAATCATGTCTGTGCTTGCTGGAGGATTTACCAGTTTGTACACACAAAACAACTTGATTAACAAAGATTCCAAAAAGCTTACAAACTGCTGAAGTACCGGTTCTTACTGCTGTTGTTAACCTACCATCATACTACCATGGCTCCCTGCTGGGTTTCCATTGCTTCTCTTTTGCTGGTCAGACTACTCAAGCTCCATAACGACCTGGTACTGAAAACTCTTGCTATGGAGAGGAATACTGAATGGTTTTCTGTGGTTAACACTCCAAATGGCGTACCATGGTTAAATGAATGCCAGTGCTAGCAAAAAAAGACAGTATGGATGTGCAGATGTGGACAGCAGTCATTAGATTAGCTCAGCGGTGTTAAAAAAATCACATTGTTTGCTGAGGCTGATGTAAGATAAATAGCCCTAAAGGGACTGCTCTCCTTCCTCATGCAGCAGTGTGCTCCTGCTGCTTTCTGCACAGCTAATTTAATACTGGGGTGAGCTGGATCAAGTACTATTACGAATAAAGGGATTTGTTTTCAGCCAGGTCAGTGAGCTGACTTCACTTCCTCAGTAAGGGTTAACACAAGGGAACATTGCAGAATGCAGGCCTTGGATCAGGAACACCACATCCTAATGTTAGTCCAATTCCAGAAAGAAACCAATTAAAAGGATAAACCTTTTCATTTCAGGCCTCTTAAAGGGGAAAACCCGAGATCAGATACTGAACAGAATGCACACTCATCACCTTCCTTTCTAAGTGGGAAGGGGGGTAGATGAAAGGAAGCAGTTTAACAAGAGTCACTGTGCAGAAGGCTGGTTCATTTTTTTTAACTGCACATCTTAAAAGCTCACTGTAAACTCCAGCCTAGACACTTGTTATATTTAAGAGGAAAAAAAGCATATAGATTTGGTGTAAAATGAAACCACATTTTATCCTCACGTAAATTTTGAACCTTCCATGGGTTTCTGAAACATCCCTGCAATAACACTAAGCACAACAGACTAGCATTGTTTTCCAAGATGAAACTCAAAACAGTTCATACTTTATCAGAAGGGGTCTAAACCAATCTGACACATTAGGCAGAGTTTGGTTTTGTCTGTGATTTTACAGTTCACGCATTGCAGGACTCTCATCCACGCTGGGATGCCTCTATATATAGCAATATAAATCAATAATCTTAACTATGTGCTAGAACTGCATGTTTTAAATTGTCTATGTAAAAATAAGGATTGGCAAGACTCAAATGGGATCTTAATACTTGGAAACAGTAATCAACTTGAAATTCAAATACATTTCTGAAAAAACAATACTCTGGTCCCCTTTGAAACACCAAAATACACAAATGTAAGAAAAACGGCTGCTAATGCAGCTGTTCAGGAATGCACAGTACTGACACCAGTTCTAAAACACTATTTTTTTTGTTAAGAGTAAACTTTTTTAAACTCTATGCACTTAAACCAAACTGCAGAAAGAAAGCTCAAATCTTAATTTCAATTTGTTAGAAAACTAGAGGCAAATCTATTTAAGCATCTACACAAACATCAAAACAAGACACTGACTTTAGTATATCTTCATGCAAACCCAAATCCTTTCAGTTGTTGCCAAGATTTTAACATGTCAAAGGTCTCCTGGATCCTTGCCAATTTATCTTCAAGGCCAAGCTTCAGTGCTAGCAGGGGCAATACCACACCATACCAGCAGATCTGCAACACCTCTAGCTTGTACACTGGGCACCATGCTTTATCTTTAGCCACACCTCCAGAACCGAGCAGCACTGAGTCAGTTTCTGACACACAAGTGTTAATAGTAAAATTCTGCCCAAGCACAAATTGAATGTCAACACCTGCCTGGCTCAACAAAGGAGAAGGAAGAAATTAAAAGTCCACAGAGCGCAGTTGCCTACAGGACCCTGACAACTTGGCAAGCACTCGAGTCAAGGCCCTATTCTCAGTCACCAGTCGCTCATTTATGTGTTTCAAAGATTGAATCTGCTTTATTTGTTGCAGGTTCTGCAGGAATCAAAAAAATAGGAGTGAAAATGAGAAAAAAACTCACATGTATATTAGATGAGCAGAACTGAAAGAAAACTTAGAAGAGACAGTCCTGTTTAAAGTAAATAAGCTGCTGTGAAAGGAAAGTATCAAACAAGTGGCACATTCTTGAAAAGCAATCTAAGTACCAGTAGTGATTAGTCACAGCTTTCCAAAACAGTTCAGGATGCATTAACAATGAGAGCTATTCCTGGAATTCTTCACTTAACATCCTAATTGCACAGACTGAGTCTCCTATTCAAAACCCTGTACATAATGACACATTTAACATATACTTTTAAACAACTGTGCAACAAACTATGTGAAGAATATTTAATCTTTAATTAAACACTTTCACTTCTTGCTTATTGAAACAAAACTTTTGGAAAAAGCAATATATTTGTATTCTCTATTTTTATCAGAAGCCTAGCTTTCCCTAGAAGCTCACATCCTGTCTTCTACTGTTAGGCAGACAATTATTTTCCTCTATCATAGGTTTTTTTTTTCTGTACTTCTCTTCTGAAGACCCCTCAAGGAATCACAGACGTGTTCTCCCTTACAGCAGACTATCTTGTTCTGAATCCAAGGGAGCCAGAGGCATCACAATTACTCTTTTGCCCGTCAGCTTCAATTACTTTAACAGAACTCGGTGCATGTATTTTAATGAAAAGTATTAATTTAATACTTATTAAATTAATGCCATTTCCAAGCACCAGGGGGAGCCCAAAAGGAAACTTCTTGTTAATCAGTGACAAATATCAAATGTCAAAATAATGGTACTTTCACATTCCACTTAAATTCTATGAGTTTTGTTGACCATGTCCAATGTTTATATGAAAGGACATAACAGAAAATAAACCCACCCAAATTCTCACCCTTAATCAAATCAGAGGGTTTAACAGTAATAAAGACTGGTTAAAAACCCCAAACAAACAGAAATTAAATTTATTTTAAAAAGAACATTGCCTCTGAAATTCATTTTATACATAGTTGAAAAAAAACAGAAATCAGTATGTTACGTGTCACTCATTTGTCAACAGCTCGACTCTACCTACTGCATTTTGTTACATAAAACCTGATTCACACTATAGAAACAGATTTTCTTTTGATATTGTAACATGCAATGTACTTAATAAAGAGCATGAGCTAAAGATTGAAACAACATTAAATGCTTAAATATCTATACTATTTTATGCTACCACTATTTAATAACAATGGATTTTAATAATAGTAATTAGTAAATAAAACTTATGAGTATCACATCAAAATTGTAGACTGCAATTCCATCTTGATTAGCTCAAGATATGTTTCACTCTAACCACCTCTGAATGTTTCTTGTTAGCCACGTTATAGAATCCTAGAACTCAGCACCTTCTTCACAATTGTACATCTATGACTGCTTATGCCAGCACCACAGCTTTGCTACAAGCTGTGTGACAGGAGTGACTCTGACATCCAGCTGTAACTTAGTTATTTTCTAGTGAAATTACAGAGACCAGTAATGCTGCCAGACTACATCTCACTGACGTAATAATACACTTTGTTATTTACTTACTTTCAGTTCCTCTTCCATTTCAGATATCCTTCTTTCTAGCGCTCTTCTTTCCTAAATCAGAACATGTGTGTTAATGCTGAACTATACAATGTTTTAAAAATTACAGCTTGTAAATACTGTGGTAACAGTGAAATACTTCAAGTTTCAAAGATCATACAACCAAAAGCATAGTGTGGACAGAAAACTTGTGATGGCAGTGATACACAGAAATTTGGTCAATATGGAATTTTAATATCCAAAGAGGAAGAGATACAGAAATTCATATAAAGTCCTACAAAACATACCCCTTCCTTTTCACTAATTTAGAAAGGTTTTAAGTACAACTTGTTCGGATTTATTTTTCATGAGCTAGGCTTTTGTAAGACCTTAATATCCAAGAAATGCAGAAAATTATCAGAAACCAAGAATATTAGAAGATACAAGCACAAAAGCATAAGTTTTCACAGACAAAGGTAGCTGAAACATCTGTCTCAGCCCAGTGGGATCTGTCCACACTCCGAACTTCAACAGTTGATGAAACTGACATTACAGGATTTAGATCAGTACCAAAGAAATCTAGTTACATGAGATCAACTGCTTCTTGAGAAAATGTTTCTTGAATATTTTCTGCATTTCTTGTATAGTTTAATTTTCCTTTTATTTCCCTTTTTACCTCAGAAGCAGGAGAAATTGTGCTTTGTATATGAACTTGATTGCCCTGATTATATAACCAAGCCAGCTTATGGAAAGTTAGCTTAGGGTTTTCTATACTACACTGCAGTCTGCAGTGCAGATATGTTTTTATTTTGTTTAAACCTATTTTTCAACACATCTGACAGATGAGCAGCCAATGCAATAGACTTCGGGGTTTATAGCTTGATTGCTTGCTTTCCTGTGTCAGACGATGCAGTGTATCTCATTTAAAAGCAGCTGCAGGTATCAGTACTCTACATTCAATTTTTTTCCAGAGGGTGAGAGGCAAAAGCAACAGATTATTGCGAAGTGGCCATATGCATCTGCATACAACAGTGTTATGCAAACAGCAAGCAGCATTGACTGAGGTGTGTAAAACTTTGGTTAGATCATACCGCCCAGTAGATACTGACTCTTGCCGGACACCTTTCAGATATAAATCATTTGAATTTAGTTTAATCACAGTGCAGTTATACCCCAACATTTTCCCAGTATAGCAAACAACTTTAATTTTTATCAGAGTAATACATATATTACTGCAGTTGTTACTACTTAATGTACTTAACTCCTTCAAATTAAGACTTTTTTTTATAATGACTGTAATGAGCATAAGTACCAGTGAGTTAACGGGATGCAAGTAACTAACAAAAATCCCACTATGTCTTACAATACTTAGAATTTTATCTGTTACTTACTAGTCTTACAGAATACCATATATGATGTGTTCTTATATGAAGCAATATTCAACATTTTTTTCTATTACCAAGAGATGAATGACCAAACAAATGTCAAAATTTCAGGTGTCTAGAAATTCTTAATCCTTTTGAAGTATTTGCTTAACTAGCATGTTGAGCTTGTCTATTAGCAATAAAAATCAATTCAGTAAAATCTTTAACTGACGCATTATACAAAAGAAAGAGATAGACTGGTCTGGGTATAATACACTTTGTAAAACTGTTTTGTTCTTATTATTTGAAGCTATGCTCCTCTTTTTCTTGAACTGCTTACTTCTATGAACCAGTTTGAGGGATGCCAATGAAATAATGCACTGTAGTTTCACTGAGAAGATCTGCCAGTATTACTTGATTATTTCCTGGACTCAAAGAAAGTATTTGAAATCTATGAGGTCTAAAATTTTATGATATACTTCCTCAACTCTGTAAGGGCTATCAAGAAACATTTGTAACTCACAAAAAAAAAAAGAAAAAATACATGCTAATCTCTCATCTTATAAAATACAATAGCTCAATTGTATTTGTATCAAAGCAACTAGGAGTCACAGGACTGTGCAGTCAGACTGAGGTACACAGATACTCACATATGAAAAACAGACCCCCACAGAGCTATACAATTTTAGAGAAGTAAAACCAGATGTATATGCCTACATATATTTGTATATTCAATAACACAAAGAAATACACCTCTCCACAATTCAAATTCCCAGATGAAGAATTCCAAATTTGTGAGGAAAAAAAAAACGTTTAAAGGTACCTAGATTTTTCTGAATTTTAATCCAGACTGAAACCCATAAGTTTAAGTTTTGGTTTGAAGTTTTATTACCACGTCATATAAAATTCAAAGGGCTATTAGCATATTTGGCAGAGTGACAGGTTGTTAAAGAAGCCCTTATTTTTGCCCATGTATTGCTAGGACCTTGCACATGTGCTCTGATCTCTACCCCCATCCCAATGGAAATAATCCCTTTCTTGCTTTCAAATGAACAATATTCACAATGTATCACCAAGTCATATCATGGAAGCCCACTTCTGAAGGGTGAATTTAAATAAAATTCAAAGCCAGTATTTTCTGAATTTTACTACCGTGCAAATCTAGGCTTAATACATATTCTCATTTTCTTCAGTGAAAAGGTAGCATTCAGCTGGAAAATGTCATAGTCCAAAGATGCCTTCGTCTCTTTCTCTGTTGGCCTTTTATTTCTTACAATTTTTCCTCACTACTTTACTTTTTCCCTCTCCTCTTCTCTATGTAATTTATATTAAAATATTTAGGTTTATATTTTATTTTAGTGAAGTCACATACTTGGAGAAGTATATTTAGAAAAGCTCTACAATTTCTTTTGATTTTTGCATTTTTATTGTTACATTATACATTAGAAAGTTATCTTTAAAATTATTTTTAAATGCTGAATTCAATAAACTTATTTCTAGAGATCAGCTATTGATGACTAGCAGCTGAGAATCCTGCTTCAGTCACATTCAAAGTGAAGCCTCAGATTTAAACAACAAAAAATAACAATCATAAATGTATTCCTCATTTAAATTCCTATCTGAAAATAAGTATGTAATTATAAACAAGATTCAGATGTACAAATTTTGTGTAAATCCTGTTTCAGCTATATAGCACCTAAGTTACATACATATATCACTAAGTTAACTATTTATCCACTAGATTTAATACTAATATGTTTAGGAAAAATAATATTTCTGAAAGATATTTTAGTGTTGGACTGAATGTCTTAAAGTGCAAGAATTTCTAAAAAAGCCAGTTGTTGTAATGCAATGGCCTGTTTTGGGAGAAAACCAAGCAACAATTTAAAACTGAAATTATGTCTGTCTATGTAGCACTCCGTGCATTACCTACAAACCCACACATTAATGGATGCAGCTACATTTATTAAATAATTAAATGCCCACTTGTGTGGCCATGCTAGCAAGGAAGAAACCAATTATCTGCTGCTGAAACCTTTCTACTGATGAAATCACTGCCCGCACTAGGATGCCAAAGAAATTAAAGAGAAATACGTTCTAAACAGCAGCAATTAAGTGCAGAGACTATTAAGATAAAGATAATGAAACTTCAGGAAATGCCTGAGAGTATTTCTACATCTCCATGTGCTCGTGTAAAATCTGTTTATATACTGGACAGTATTGTGTAACTAAAACTTGTTTTATATAAATAAAACCTAAAATACTGGAAAATTAATACAAACGGCTAGTGAATATGAAATTTACCAGGGATTAACAAATGTTTACCACATCACTTCTTACTGTCAAAGTCTGATTTTTTTTCCCAGTTTGTCTCTAATGTGTCACTCCAGGATCAAGGGAGAACAAAAGAACACATGGTGTTCAGAGTCAATGAAGGAAGCCAAGACCACCTCAAAATCAATGTAGTTTGCTTTACACTGCTGTGAAACTAAAATTTTACAGGGCTGGATTTTAAATTAGCATGAAATTACAGCCTAAGATTATCATGTGTCCAACTTCTGAAATAATTCCTGTAGTCTATCTCACATATGAATTCACTGCATTACTCTTTCCCACTCAATTTAGGGTATCTCTGACTCTGATGCCCCTCTTCCTGCACTGTTTACTCATTCTTCCACTTTCTCCCTCTACCCCATTATCATATTCCTCTGGAAAAAGCCACAGTGCAAGGAAAGAGGCAGATAAAGATAATTTTATATCATTAGCAGGTTTAAGGTCCCATGTCTGTGAGGCAGAAACAGCTATCTCATTACTGACAATAATTGGTGCCTCTGAAAAGCTCTGAGGAAATTAACTTCTCTGAATCTTGGAAATGTGTTAAAAAATAAGACACAATGAATCTGCTTAACTCTCTGGAATGCCGGCATTGTTTTGGATGAGATGAAACAAGTGGCACATCCCTGGAGGGCAGCAGAGTTTAGAAACTGGTTATCACGAATGAACAGGCAAACTAAAGGCAATTTTTAAGAGTAATTTCCATCTTGCATTCATTGCCACTTTGAAACCTAAAATCCTCAAATCTTCTAAAAAATGCAAATTATAAGAAAGGATTCTGTTCCTACTAAAATATATGCAAACCAAGGGTTGCAAAACAAGCTAAAACAAAGCTTGACCTGGAGTATTTAAAAGTTCTTTGGCAGAAACTTACCCTTTTCTCCATTTCCAAGAGTGATCTGTCAGCAAATCTTTCTTGTCTCTGAAACACAAAATTGATGAAGACATTGATATGTGCTTTGACACAACACAGAAATGAGGAAAAAACCAATTACATATTTTAGTATTCTGTCTGAAGTATGTAATCAAAAACATTTTAGAGTGTGTTCAGGGAAGTAACACTGAAATAAAGAATGAGCTGGATTTATCAAGCACTTCTGTGACCATCTTTGTTATTTAATCACTACACAGCCTTTGGCTAACAGGAAAAACACAGTATTTCTATCTAAAAGCATAACAAAACAGGCATCTTTCTTCACTAACATTTGCAGAGTACACATGAAAGACAGCAAGAGTAGACAAATTTAGACAAATCTAACTCCAGTGTATGTGTCTTGTATAACTGTATGCAGCACTGTTATCTGACAGAAGTTATTGGTAACAGGAATGCATTATTTGCTCTTCATTTCCAAGATAAAGCTATCTAACCAGCCAGGAAGAACTGGCAGGTTATGCCAATTTGCCAGCAGCCCCGATTGTCAGTTTAAATATAAGCTTAACAGTGAAGAAAGTGTTTACTCCTACCCTGCAAAAAAGTTGCATGCAGATACATGCTGGCAAGAACCATTACTACTTAAGCAGGCAGGAAGCAGACACGTTTTGCTCACAGCTGAAGACCAGAATCCTGCACTCTTTTCTCTTTAGAAAGAGAGAAATTCTCCATTCCCATCTTTGGATAAAAAACAAAGCCGATGCTTAGTTAAGAGCAGCCCACAGCTGGGGGTGCTTCTGGTTTATTATTTATATTGCTGGTTAAGTACATGCTTTTCTGCTTTATACAAACCTGAGTGGTCTTCTCCAACTGTAGCTTAAGATCTGTAAGTTCCATGTTGGTGTCATGTAACTGTGCTTTCAGTTTTTCATTTTCAGCTAAAATCTGTTCATAAAGCTAAGAGAAAATATTAGTTTAAAAATCAGATAATAGTGAGATTAGCCAAAAAACTTCAAAAATGTGACCAAACCACAACAAAGTTAACAAATACATTAAGAGCCTAAGAAGTAAAATAAAGATGTTTAAAATTAGCAAGCACAGTAAGGAACTGTTACTAAGTATTTCTAGAAACAAACAGCTTTTTATAGGGAGCACACAACTTACCTTGCACATAATAAAGCCACCTTTTCTTCTTCAGACTTCTCAGATTACCCCACCACAGTAAACATTTCAACAAACTCCTCTTCCATTTTAAAACAAGATCTAAACATATTTTTACCTTATATGTATGTAAGCTGGCAAACACATAATAGAGTCTTCACATATGTATACATCAGTTTTAATGATACTTTTCTTATGATAAATACTATCATTATTTTTTTATTTGACTGTATCTCAGCTCCTCTGCATTTCTCCCTTGCCTTGAAAAGTACAAAAGTCAGAAGCTCTTTCATAATGTATATTATTCCCCACTGTAGTGGTTGCTGTGCTTCTCCATTCAGCTATGTTACATTAAGCAATATTTCAGATGCAATGTGAGACTACTTTCACACAATTTAAGAAAAGCAGTAATGAAACCCTATTTTTCCAGCAGACGTATTGAATCAGATACCTTCTTAAAATCAGGGCTATCATCTTTTTCTAGTCTACTGCAGTATGGTTTTCGATCTTCAAGATAACTCTGTGACCCTGATCGCCCCTGCGCTGAATCGTAACGATCACCTGCAGACATGCTGAGCGATCCCGTATCATATCTGTAAAACAAAAATTCTGATTTTTCTTTGCCTTTGAAGCCAAACTCAGACCCCTGACTGTATCACATGTTTTGACTTTGCTGCTACCCAGCTGAAAACAACCAAATGAAATTATGTATTGTTGTTAGACTACTGTCTTCTAATTTGATGCAAATTTCATTTTGACATTCTCTAGTACTTCAAGATTCTTGGTGAAAATGTTTTCAAATTGCTCCGTCTGCAGAGTAATGCATGCAGAGAAATATTTTAAATGTAATTAAATTATTTAATGCAAGCAAATATTTACATGTCTTAAAATACTTTAAAACTGGCTTAGATAGTTCAATTCTTCTTTATTTATAAAGAAAATTTTTAAAAAAGTGTATTAGTTTAATTGAAGTGTTTTAAAAAACACTAGATGAATGGCCTAGATGAATTTTAAGTTTTATTACAGCAACCAGGATTTCAAAACTATTGGTTGTGACTTCTAGCACTTCAACAGAAACAGGTGATGAAACAAATCTTTAGCAGTTTTTATCCTAATAACTCAATAAAATCCTGTATTAATAAAGTTAAAGAGTAATTTCACACTGTTCACTCTTCACTAATCATGTGTTTGAGCAGCTTTATTGAACAGATTTTCACCAGTCAGAACATAATTAAATTCTATAATTAAAGCTAATGGTCCAAAAAGAAATGATTTTTTAAAAATTAACAATATTTCACCATTTACTTATTTAACAAATCTTAAGGAAATGTGCTTTTCAGAGGCTGTATTTTTCTTGAGGTTACGTAGAAAATTTTCAGTAGGATAGTCTAAAAGAGAGGCAACAAAAACCTCGTCTTCTTTGTAAAAACTGGGTCCATGCTGAAAAAACTGTAGGGCATAGTACTGTGTCCACTATGTTCTGTGAAATGCCCAGCCTGCCTTCAGTGCACTACAAATACGGAGTACAACAGATTCCCCTGCATGGAGTATTCCACTCACACGTGGCAGGACTGTAGCTTCACAATCATACTTCATACAAAACATAAGTGTCATTATAGCCTTTGAAAGCTCAATCCAACCACTGGATTTAAGCTGAATTTGTACAAAAAGAACTTAAAAGTGACAACATGCAGACAGAAAGTGTAAAAATTCTAATTATTTTGTTTAAATTGCACATACCTTGAAAGGCTCTCACTCTGAGGTGGGGAAAGGTAAAAAGAGAGAAAAAGAATGGATTGGTGAATAATTTAATTAAAATATATAACAATCTGTGAACAAATACAACTAAACAGTTATGTCAGATGCACATGCTATCCAGCAGTATGTATTATCTGAACTGTGTCAAGCTTCAATTTTTTTTATGTCAAAATAGAAAAGAAGAAAAAAAGAGAAGAAATATGTGCTAGAATGCACTCAACAAAATATGATTTACAATGACATTAACACAACGCTCTAGAAGTCTGGAGTGCCCTAAACACTGCAGCAGTTATTGCAGCAGTTAGCACATTCTGGGTTTGCTTCCTTGTTATCAAAGACATCTGAACAGTGTTCCTCATATTCACTGTTCCTTCTTTCTCTTCTTTAACATCAGCTACAATGTTTTGAACGTAATGACTTCAGCTCAAAACAATATGTTAAGATACAGGATCACTGTTTCAACATAGCATGACTTGAAAGAAGTTACTACAGCAACAACATAAGGAAGTACTTATTAGACTTAATTTATATGACAGTAAATTTTGTCCCTGTGGATTCACCTGGAATGAATGACAGTAATATAAAAAATTAAACTGTCTTTAGTTGAGAAGCAAAACTTAATTAAAAGTGATGACTTAAGAGTGAGGGAGTGTCCTCTATGTATTTACATCAGTCATACAAAACTTTTGCCCCTCTGGGTGGTCAATACAGATTCATAATTTTTTACAATTATTATTCCAATCTTGAGTGAAGACATTTCAGTCAAGAAACTCTACTGATGTATCATCACCTGGACATCCTCCAAATGTTATTCACCTAGCAGTGGCTGAAGCCATCCCCATAGGTGGTTTTCTGGAGGGACTGGTGTGGCTTGCTTGGTTTCCTTTTATAGAAGGAAACTCTATTATTCAGTGTGCATAGGTAAACAGCCACATTCTCCACAATACACCAAATTTCCCCTTTTGACACCTTGAAGTGCATTTACTGCACAGAGGATATCAAAGGTACATGCTATAGCCTAACCACTCCTAATAAAACATCATTATTTTCTGTCAAGAGATGAATAATGCTGGGAATTAAGAGCTTTTGTAGAAAAATGGGCAACCTGTTCTGATGTTTCACCATAAAATGATTTGTGTGGGAAAACACTACCAAGATCACCGAGTCCAGCCTTTGACTGAACACCACCAGGACAACTAAACCATAATGCTCTCACATCCGGTTGTTTCTTGAATGCTTCCAGTGATGGTGACTCCACAGTCTCTCTGGGCAGCCTGTTCCAATGCTTATCTACCCCTTGTCAGTGAGAAAATTCTTCCTGATGTCCAACCTGAACCGCCCTGGTTCAGCTTGAAGCCATTTCCTTTTGTCCAGTCCCTTTTACCAGGGAGAAGAGACCAACCCCCACCTGGCTACAGCCTCCTTTCAGGGAGTTGGAGAGAGGTCTCTCCTGAGCCTCCTCTTCTCCAGGCTAAACAACCCCAGCCACTCCTCACAGGACCTGTGCTCCAGACCCTTCCCCAGCCTTGTTGCCCTTCCCTGGGCATTGTCCAGCACCTCAATGTCTTTCTTGCAGGCTCAGAACCAGACCCAGGACACAGGACTCGAGGTGGGTCCTCACCAGTGCCAAGTACAGGGACGCAATCCCTGCCCAGCTCCTGCTGGCCACACTATTGCTGATCCAGGCCAGGATGCCATTGGCCTTCTTGGCTGCCTGGGCATGGGCTGGCTGGTGTTCAGCCACTGTCACCAGCATCCCCAGCCACTTTATCCCTTGGGCAGTTTCCAGCCACTCTGTCCCCAGCCTGTAGCATTGCACGGGACTGTTGGGACCCAAGTGTAGGACCCAGTTACTTGGCCTTATTGAACCTCATCCAGTTGGCCTTGGCCTACTGATCCAGCCTGTCCAGACTCCTCTGCAGAGCCTTCCTGCCCTCCAGCAGATCAACACTCCTGCTGAACTTGGTGTTACCTGCAAACTGACTGAGGGTGCCCTAGACCCCCTCAGCCAGGTCATAGATGAAAGTATTGGACAGGACTGGCCCCAATAATGAACCCTGGAGAATTCCACTCCTGATCAGGTGCCAGCTGGATGGAATTCCATTCACCACCACTCTCTGGGCCCAGGCACATAGCAAAAAGTGTACCTGTCCAAGAATTCCTGGTCAGTCAAATCTGTACTTCTCCAACATTCAAGCCCAACACACTCACCCTTCTAATGATATTCATGATTTTGGGGCTGATTTAGCACTATTTCACTGTAATATTATTAATTTTATCAGAAGCACCACACAGCATGTTCTACCAAAATTAATGTCTACAGAATACGATATGAATTTATTACAGACCTAGAGAGATATGTATCACTAGAAGGGGAGGAAACAGGACTATGCAGTTATGTTAATGTGGCACAGAAATAAAAAATACAGCAAATCAAAAAGGCACAGAATGAGTCTCTTAACTAAAATATTTAACAGATGTGTAATGGAAGCTTTTACAAAAAAAGAAATAAATATCACTTGAGTTTTATTCCTAAATAATGAACATGATTCTGTACTGTACTACTCCAGGGTTTAGGTCAAAAGAAATACATTCTTCGTATAGCTCAGCTTATATAAATAATTCTCTTTTAATACCTTTTTATCCCACTGTCAATCACCATTCTGTTTTCAAGAACTTTTCCCATCAAATCAAGCCTATTATACAGTTTTGCACTGACTTTTTATCAAGACCAGTAATACTCATTTAGGATATTCAGAAAACCATTTTGTTCACTGAAAAAATTACATACATTGCACTCTTCAACTTTCTGTGTTTCCTCAAATTCACTTTTCATATTATTTTAAAAAAATACTAATGACAGCACTGGGTTTAATTTTCAAAGCTTTTAATTACTGTGCATAAGTAATTGCCATAATTTATCTGAAAATAACAATGTAGGTGAAATAAAGATTTTGCTGGGTAGAAACTGAATGCTTGCTCCAGTAACCTGCTGCATCATGTCCCTGACCTGTGTGTCAAAAATCGAATCTACATTTTTTGGATGCTAATTCTACACAAACAAAATGGAAATCAACACTGTTAGTTATGGCACTGTTGATATGTAAATTCAACTGTAACAAAGATTTTACAACAAAATGTATCTCTTAAAAGTTAATGAACAAATTATCTTTCTTAAATTACCTGAGTTTCTTTCTTATTTGTTCCTTCTTCTGAATCCGATTGGTGATCCTGTTCATTTTCATCACTCTGGTGAAAGAGGTAGGAGAGGAAAAATAATTAAAACTGTTGAAAGCTTAGTAAGATTTTAATGCATTCTACACTTTGAACATGAAAATATAAGCGAAGCAGAATACTCCACAGAGAATACAGAGGATATAGGAAGAAAATTCTCAAACAGGTATGTGTTTTCAGTACCAGAAGGAGATTAAACAGTTTTGCATTTGACACATGAAAACCTGACTTTTACATTATATATGGATCCCATGACAAAAAAAAAGGGAAAAGGAATAGTCTGAAACATCAGCTATAACCTTTCTAATCTGACAGCAGTTCTTTAAGTTGCTAAGTACACAGCTATTTGCAATGTGCCAAATAAAGAGTCTCATTTTTTCAGCATTGGTACACATGCAATAGAAAACATTTGTTCAATAATTTATTTATTTTCCTTAGATTATGATTAATTCCTATTAAGTTATGGTTACTACAGTGTTCTAGAATTCTGGTTAGCAGTATCAACTGAAAAAACTTAATTTTGATTCTACCCCTGAAAGATCAAACCAAAACCAAAGAATATTCAAATTGAAAAGCACAATTTTTTCTAGAACAATGAGTTACATATTGTATTACTCTAAACAATTCTCTATTTTAAGACTACACTACACACATTTCATTTTGTTACAAGTGAAGTTTACTTACATCCTGAGTCCAAAAAGACACTCCTGTAGATCGTCGTTTTTCTCTTGGTCTCCGTCTTTCCCTTATAGACTTAGGCTGTGACTTATCTTCTTCCTTTTCTTCTTCTTTTTTGCCCCCTTCTGTTAATAACAACTTTCTCATTCACTGAATTATGACACAATCTAATTTTCTGAAATACTTCTCAGTCTTTAAAATGGTCACAATAAAATCTTTTTACCTGAAATAAATTAACTGAAGAGCTTCTTACCACATACAGGGTTTGCTGTAACATACACTTCCCAGAACACACAGCTCTAAAATACTGTAAATATTAATTTCACCTCAATCACCTAAATACAATGTCTTAGTTTAACAGTAATACAATACAACTTGGACTTAAAATTCAGTTTTCAAAACTGCCATGTAATAATTGAAACATCTGTGTCAGCAGATGTATAAAGGTACAAAAAAAAAAAAGAGAAGGTAATCCTTTACCATTCTTCATCAAACAAGTTTTTTTGTTGCATACATCAAGGATGCTGTATTAAAAAAAAACCCAGCTTTTACAAATCCTTCTTAAGAGTCCTCCTTTTCATCACAGTCCTCTCCATTTTTGCTCTAAGGAAGAATAAATTGGGACCTCCTAGGTTAGATTATTACTGTATTAGAGATGTCCTTTTCCTTTAAAACAAATGCAATGGCAATTTGAAATAGATGTAACAACTCAGGATTGTGTTTGCTACCCTATATATTTACAAGTAACATGTGAAAACAAAAAACAAAAAAAAAAACAAAAAAAAACCAAACCAGCCCAAACCAAAGTTCCTTACTTAATATCATGCAGTTTGTTCAGCTGATGCTCTTTTATTAAATAAAGAAGCCACTTTATTAAATAAAGAAGCCACAAATTGAGTCCAGATAGAAGAATCACTAATCATTAATCACTACCATCACTAGTCTTCAGAGGTAAATAAACAATTTAGAGTGAAGCAAAATTAAATAGGAAAGACGAGAAATACATTTATGGTGAGCATACACCTAATTTAATAAACTAGGGTTTTACCTCTGGGATTTCAGATGGTAGTGTATTTCTCCTCCAAAAGTCATAACTTGAAAAAAAAAGAACCTCTGGTAGCTAATATTTACCAAATGAAAACCTTTTCCATAGAGCAATCTAGAGTGAGTTTCCTAGAGTAAGCATGCGTTATGAAATCATTGTAATCCAAATTTCAGTTCATTTTAGAAAAAGGGAAAAAAATTAGAAAGCATATCCATAAAGCCTAACCCCAGTAACTTCCTCAGAAAATACTGTTCTAGGGAACATGGCAATACTGTTATATAGTTAATAGAGATTTCATCAGTGGATCATTTTATCTGACTCTCTGTAGAACAAAATTATCAATTTCAATCAGTAACCCTACTAAAGTTACTGATCAATAACTTGAATTAAAGTATTTCTATCAAGTCAGCAGTGGCAAGTCCAAGAATAGGAGATCACACTGTAAGTTAACAGGCTCCTCACTTGACAGGCAAAGAATCAGGCACAACACCTCTCAGAGTTATAGCAGGTAACTCACATTTGAAATGAAGGCAAAATCTCTGTGACACCAGAGAAGAACATTTTGTGATCTCTGAATCATGCATTTTATCCTCAGTTTAAGATTACATAAACCAGTTAAAGCATGCAGAAGTATGGTTACATCTGAACTGCAATGGGAAACATCCCCTTTAAGGACCTCTCAGGGCTGTATGAGCAGCTGGAAACCTTTTCCAGCTGTTCATACAACCCTGAGAGATCCTTAAAGAAATAAAGCATCATTCCAGTCCTTCAATGTGGAAGGACTGAAAAAAACTCCTAGTTATTTAGCAGTTATTTAATCAAGCAAAATTCCTTTTTAATACATGCAAGTATTCAGACCTTGAAATATAGTATTTTATTATAGTTATTGTGTTAAAGTAGAAATTAAAGCATTATGTGGATATTTATGGGAATATATTTGAAATTTCTGTGACCCAACAGTGGAAAACAATCACATGGCTGCAAAACACCACCAAATACAGAAAATCTTTTTCCCTCTCTATATGAAAGTTTTGAAATTTCTTACAGAAGATTTGGGCAAGTTACATGCCCAGTGGTCTTACATATCTCACCCCATTCTGAAATACCTCTAGAAATGTAAGCTACTCTTTGTTAACCAAAAGAAAAAAAAAAAAAAAACAAAAACAAACAACCCTTCATAAACAGTACTCCTACCTCTCTCACTTTCCTTTGTTCCACTCCGAGAATAGGCAGAAGTTATACCTATAAGGCTGTTTGGTCTGTTTAGCTGACTTGAACTTGATAGAGAGCTAGTGGACGTGGAGAGCGAAGAGGTGGATGATGAAGAAGTAGAAGTTGAACTTGGTCTATAGCGATGATACGGCTATTCAACAGAAAAATGTCAGAATTAATTTACCAAGATTAACGAATACAAACCATGGGATATGAAAACATTTAACTATATATTCTTACAGTAGTACCAAAATTAAAATAACATTGTCGGAGTAAAGATTTATATAATTTCTCTACCTAAAGAGACTCATCATGAAAATACCTCCTCAACAGTTCGGGAATATCTTTGTCTATAATCATCATCTTTAGTTTCAGATTCTTTCTTTTCCTCTTGTTTTTCTTTGTCTTGCTTTTCTTTCTCCTCCTTTTCTTTTTCTTCATTTTCCTGTTCTCTGGTTCGTGTGGGACGACTTCGTCCTATAGTTTTTTCAGCTTCTTGAAGATCTGTCAGTGTTACGCCCTGTGAAAACAGCAGTCAGAAAACACCATTTAAATATAACATTAACATTAATGTAGCTGATCACATTACATAAATACTGTAAAGAAAACATTCAACTTAAGAAAATTAAATCTATCTATCAAGAAATAAGTTTTACCTATATATTCTACCTATAAGCTTTCCTCTTGTATGTTGGAACCAACCATCCCTCTGGTACGTGGCAAGTATTTGCTGTAATGTTATCTACCACAGATTCTCTAGCAAGCCAATTTTTAGGTGAATTAGTAGATACAGATTGCAAAGAAGATCCTATAGAAATAATTTAAGAATCCAATAGATGCTTTTAATATGATTGTAAGCATACTAAACATTTCTGAAAGAATCCTAGAAATGTAATACTCATATTTTCAGAAATGTTGATACTTTACAAATTAATTCCTTGCAATTGGATTTTTAGGTCAGCAACACTAGAAAGTCTCTTGCTATTTTTAGGCTAAAAACTAGTTTTGAAATAAGCTCAGAAATCAAAGAATTTTATTAAGACAGCTTTTCTCTACTGTACTTTTCAGCTAATGTATCTTAGAGAGACATTGCTCAAAACACTCTGTAATCTCCTCTTCAAAGCCAACTTAATTGTTTCAAAGTTACTTAATTGCTTTTAGTGTTGATAAAGTTTAATCCAGTAATTCCTGGTAGCTTCTTCACTGTAAGGATTTAGCAATAGTTAGCCTGTAGTCTGACCATCATTCAGGGCTCTGAATTAGTACTATGAAGTAAAAATAAGTCCCATACAATGAAGTAGTATCAAGCAGCACAGATCTCTCTTTTGGAAAGCTAACCAGAAGTATTTGAGGGGTTTAAAACTGGAAAGATTTGAAAGCAACATCAGTAAGCAATGTAGCTATGGACTCAGCCTAAAAACAGGTAAGGAAAATGGCTAGAGTATTTATTTGTGCTGTTTTACTCAGGGACTATTTGATGATTATTCGCAGTTTGCCAGCAGACAGTGACTGGCAGTTACTCCACTGCCCAAAGAGCATTTGAGTACCACTAGAGATACTCTATTTTGCTCCTGCCACATTGGTCCCTGTGATAGTATTGTGCTAGTTGCTGACAGATACGGATAGAAACTGGGAAGAACTTCCAAATATATCAGTATGTAAACTAAGAGAGAAATGCTGCAGAGAGATATGCAGTTAGATTATTAGCACGCAATAATAATTAGCACTCTCTTTTAGTATTTTCCTTCTCCAGAGAAATTAGATTAAAAGTATTTTTTCCCTATGTCATGATCTTATTAGCTATCTATATGTTGATCAGCTCAATCATATTATCTACAATAGCACACACACAGAAAAAATATTAGAAATGGATGCAATTGCAGTATGGCATGCCTGTTTCTCAGGAATGATGTTATGGGTATATTTTCAAAAATGTAGCTTTAGTAACACTATACCTGTGTAGATCTTCTAGACTGTCTTGCTTGCCTGGATCTAGCTTTTCTTTGGGACTCAGACTCTTCATCCCGTACCGGAGTGAGGTATGATCTAAAGAGTTAATAACAAATAAAATTGGCATATGATAATTTTTGCACAAATTTATTAAGTGGTCAAACCCCCACCCCCCCAACATTGCAGACAGAAAGCCAAAGCAGTCAGAAGAAAATATTTAACTATATAGGATAGATTACATTTTAGACATTTCATTCACATCATACTGATCTACTTATTCATCAAGACAGCAGCTTTAGAACTCAATTAAAATACACAGTTTTCCTACTTAATTTAGATTTCTTTTTACCATTTTCTACAAATTTAACTTCAGGTCTTTTGATGTATCACTGGTCTACTAACACAGGGGTAGAAGACCTCAGAGATTTAGCCAGTTGGACATTTATACATCAAATATGTGTGTGTACTAACTTTTAAGGTTTCAGAAAAAACCAAATGTACTGTTAATGCAGAAAACCTAATTATAGCATCCATTTCACCAGAAATTAAGAATCCCTGAGGAGGTGGTTACCATGTTTTCACATGAATCATCCACGCTTTGAGTAACCCAAGTCCCTTTAAAAAATGAGCTTAAAAATAAATCTTCATGAAACCCACAGAAGTCCTGCAAAATAAGCAGGTAATTGTAATCAAAGATAAAAGGCTACTAGAGTAGAGGTACAAGGTCTGGACACTTTTTAAGAAATTCTCTAATCCAGATAACAGGTAAAAAACCAACAGGACATAAATACATGCACAAATGCATATATTTGTATGTGTGTAAACCCATAATTAAAGAACTGAAAAGATTTTAATGCATTTGTTGATTTTCTATGGCAGAATACTCTGGGAAGCTGCTATAATTTCACACAGTTTTAAAATACTTTAATTGGCTAAAAATTAGAAAAATTGAAAAAAAATGGAAAAAAGCACAATCAAAAGGTTGCTAAAAGGCTGCTTAAAACCTCTCTGAGCTTCTTTAGATCAGATTCTGTAATATTTTCTGATTGTCTCTCTTTATATATCATTAGTTAAGAGTCACTGGATAAGGATTCAGTAATTTGCTAGTGATTATGCCATCAGTTATTAACACCTAAATAATTAAAGTTTGGAAAGAGCAGTTTGCTCACTTAATAATATATTTAGTAGCCTTAGTACATACTAAAAAGAGTTCTGAAACAATCATAAGAGTTAAAAAACTTCATTTACACAGACCTACGGATTACAACCTATGCTCTACCCCATTAAAATACAACTAACAGCTATACTTAAAAATATTGGAACAACTTCCATCTTATGGCACATCTTAAAAAAACTACACTATGTAAATTTGATTTCCTTATCCAGGTCTCTTGCAAGCAGCATTTTTGACTGACTTTCCATTTCCCAAGAACTCTAGGCTGTATCAACACAAGGAAAAGAGTTCCTATTAGGCTGCTGTAGTTAACTTGACCTGAACCACCACCTAGCTCGGAGGGCTTGACTGCAGAGCAGGTGTTAGTTATTTTTAGGGCTTAAAATTGCTAAAAACTGTTACCAATTACCTTCTTTTTAGTAACTGCTGTACCTATACCTACCTTCCACTAAATCTGAAATATTTTTAATTGCACTGAGAGAAAATGAAAAGTCTCAACTTTTCAGGTGTACATGGCAGTTACAGTCAAAAGCAGAAAGTGCTCTTCCCTAGCATCTCTTGCATGTGCCACACAGAGCTACCTATGTTGCTGTACTATTCACGATACAAAAACTTAAATACTCAAGTTTGTAATTTCCTACCCTGTTTCTTCCTTGGTTTTTTTTAGGATTTTACCAATCCTGAAAATCAAATAAAGAATATAGCTTCTTCAGCTGTAACAAAAGAACACACCATTATATGCTTCATCAATAAAGTACTTGTATCTTTATTGATGAAGCACGTACTGGTGTGTTCTTCACTTTTCAACTATCTTTGAAACAGTCTTGCAAACATACTTTCTAAATATCAATTTCAGTTGATAAACACAGATTAACCAACTTCATTACTCAAGAAAATATATAGCATGTAATATTTCATATACATTTATTTTTTTCATATGCATAGAAACATATGTAGATACACACAAAAATCTATATATATCTGTATATATACAGATAGATGTGCTCATATTTAGAGCACTACATTCTCAAATGCATGCAGTAATTCTTCCAATTTCGACTTCTAAGATTCATGGATATACTAATATGCCATCAAGAATGCATCTGCACTGTATATTACACAATCAGCCCAGTCACAGAAAACCACGCCATTTCAGGCCAACTGCAGGTATCTAAAACATATGTAGTATATGCACATTAGTATACACACACCAGGGAGAGCAAACGAGAAAGCAAAAGCCTAATTCTAATTTTCCTTGCCTTTCTAGCTCATATAAGACTGAAATAGCATTTGAATTTTAGAATTTGAACTAATCTGAATTATTTTCAAGTAAACGCACATTTTGTTGGTTTTGCTTTTCATTGTTGGGTTTGGTTCAAATTTCACTATGGAAAATGCAGGTTCTGACTACTGTAATTATTGAAATGGATTGTTTGCACATGTGGACTCTTCCTGAATCATGGTGGGGAATAAGAGAAACATAATCCACGTATCACAGAAGTTTTTTCATCTCAGTTTTGGGTAGGAAGGAAGACTACAAAAAACAGAGTACCCTAATTAGGCCTCTATAAGGAATCTTTAAATGCTGCTGCCTTAAGTGAACCAAAAGAATACAATTTTCTCCTGTAGTAAGGAGCAGCTTCATTACCTCCGTGAACATATTGAGGTATACATATCTGGCACTGATACAGAAAGTACATTTCAAACCTACTACAGGAGCAACACACAAACCTGAACTGCAGCAAGAGGGTTAAAGGATAAACATTTATAAGTACCCAGAAAAGAAGAACAAGAGAAAGCTAACAGGAATTAACAATCTTTTGAAATCTTGTTTTTGCTTCCATAAACAGAAGGAAACAACACTTTATGGAAACAAATATGCAATCTTAACTCATCCTTCATATAACTGTAATCAGAAAAAACCACTATATTCTTAAAATAGGATTTACATCAGCTTCTTACTCATTCTTCATACTGAATAGCTCTTAAAGCATTGAATTTAAAATTGTATTACTATGTTTCAAGTAGAAGAGACCCTAAATCATGCAATGAAATAAACAGAATGTGTTGGGTTCAATACTCTCTTCACAATAATGTCAGGCATACAACATGATTGAAAAAATGCTATGCTGTGACTCATTAGCATACTGCCAATGGCATACTACCTCAGTCTGCAGCAATGTAGTTGTAGTAATTAATTAATTGCTAATTTAATTATTTTTAATTCCATTTACAGAGTTCCATTACTGGTATTTCTAAGAGGACTCATTTAATCTGTTAAGAGAAATATATATCTGAAAATACCATATACCATATGAAAACCCAAGGCCAGTCAAAAATATACCATATCAAAGTTTAAATTTCGTTAATGGTCTCTACTAGTACTAAGCTCTTAGGTAAACTGAGGTACCAGTTGTTTCAATGCACAGCAAGAAAACAACATTACTTTACCCACTGTACTGTTCAAATCTGTGGTAGCCAACACATTCCTTTAAATAATGGAAAAAAAAAGTATAATTTTTTGGTAAGAGCAACATTACTCTTAGGACCTTTACACACCTCCGTCTCTCCCTGACCTCTGATGTTGAGGACACAGTGCCAGAAGTAGCTGTAGTCATGGCTGTGGTAGTGGCTGCAGCATTTACAACAGATGGTGCAACAGGAACGGTCACTGCTGTAGGAACACTGTCCTTTTCTTTCTCAGTACTATCCTCAGCCCACAAACGATTTGAGGTACTACAGCATAACAAGCAGCAACACAAAAAAAGAGAAAAGGAAACAGCTAAACAATGAAAGCACTTTACTAAACAACTAATAACATGTAAATTGAGGGATGGATTTTTTTTTTAAGAAGCAAACTGAGAAAGGTCTCTACTATGAAAGCTCAGCTTGAGCTATTAAATTGAATAAATTAAGAATTACCAGTTCACAATAATTGAACTCTTATTCTTCAGACCCTTCTAACATTTGATTTATTCTTTTATATGAACATGGCTTTCATGTTACAGTAGAAAGCCATTCACAATTTTTGAGCCAAATTATACAAAATCAAAACAAATTTAACAGTAAAGTGAAAAAATCCAGAGCCCCAGGATCTACTAAACAAGAACGCATGCACATACATAAGCACACAGTAGACCTGACAAAAAAAAAGGAACAAAATGTCCTGGTGCCATTACCTGCTTTGTACGCCTGCTGAAGTAGACCCCGTTGTACTCTTTGTAGTAGTGTTTGTGCTGGCAGGCAGCGTTTTCTGAGGACCAGCAGAAGAGGTAACTGTTGATGCAGTACTTGGAACATTAGAACTTATCAAATCATCTTGTCTTCTACCAAAGGAGCCACTGAAGGAGAGACATGTACAATGACTGCATTTATTACTTTTATTTTCTCATTAAAATATCACCAAGCTGTGAACGAACTATTACATTTTTGCCCATTTATTCTGTGCCTCAGTTGAATCTTGGAAACTTCTGGTGCAAAAGAAAATATTTTTCTACTGTTTCCTTGGCTAGGACTTTTAATTTATGATTTTGGAGGGCAGCAGAAGTGTCCCTTAGTCCCAACCATTTCTTCAACAAGCAGGATAGAAAGGAATCTCACTCTTTATGTAAGAATGTCTTGATCACATCTACTAAAGCATTCATACAGGGCCCCGAATGTCTCATTTTTAAACTGCTGCTTCACCCACACTGAACACCTCAGAAAATGCAGAACCTTACTGCACAGCTTGTCAGGAAAGAAAATGTCATAAATATCACTCCTCTTTTAATTTGAAAGCAATTAAATACACTACCCCATTAAAAAAAAATCTTTAATCATTCCCAGGAGGAGTAACATCCCACTCGGGTTTTTCCCTTGCTCTTCAAGGTTTACAAGAAATAAACATGCATTATGCTGCATGAGACAGCCTGGTTACTGATAACATCAATGTCAAGACTCAAAAAAATGCTAAGTATGCATCATGTACATCAGCAGCACGTACCAATAGGCAGCTTAGTTATTTGACCCTTTTCTTTGATCTATTCATTTTAGCTATTTATTTCCCCACTAATTACAATGAAGAATTTGACTCAAATAGCGACATTGAAACTACAAAATGCAGCAAAGGTAATAATGTATTATATGTGCAGCATGATTCCTCCTGAGAAAATTCTGCAAGTTAGGAAACAGCACACCTGAGAATTATTCTCTTATTTTCGTAATTTACTTTGCATTTAAGTGAATTCTATGTATTCTACGATGCTGATACTCAACATAGGTATGGCTATAATTTACAATTAAAGACAGCAGTCCAACACCTCCAAGACTGTCATGCAATAACCCGAATTCAATAGAAACAGTGTTTTCCCCCTTTTCATATACCAAGCAGAAACATTGCAACATTTAAAATAATTATCTTTGACTACTGAACTCATCTGGAAAGCGTCCAATGAACTCCAAACTGAAATAACCCATAGGATAAAGAAAACATCTAACTTTAATTACATAGTTTAAAATCAGGACAAGCATTGCATCAGCATACAAATGCACGTCTAAAACCAGCACTACCATTGCAATACACACTTTGTAATTATTATGAACATGGCAATATGTCACCATTAAGTTTTAAACTGTCCTTATAAAATTATTCAGTACTTGTTAACTTTTAAGCCTATTTTGATAAAAAAAAAGAGAAAATCCCACACCTTCTTTGATAACTTGTGTTTAATGATGTAGGACCTTCATTCAAACTGTTTTTCTTGACATCTTCCTCCCATTTTCTTCTGGTGTAGGAACTGCCACCACGTATTGAACTAGCAGATGAATCCCTGTAAAGGAGATTTTAGTTTAGCAAACTCACATTAAAGAAGGCTGGTTTTGATGTGAGTTGAACAGGAGCTTCAAATTAAAATCCTGGATAACACACTTAAACGTAACTGAATAAGGAATAAAACTGCTCTTATGGACAATAATTTTCAAGCCTCTGTGGAAAGATACTACATTTCTACTAACACAATTAGAAACATAAGAAGAAAGCAGCATCAAAAGAAAACTGCTAAAGAGGATTTAATCAACATTAAATCAATTGTTGCTTTTTATCTGTGGTCATTGCTAGCTTTTTTTTTTTCTCAAAAAATGAACAAGACGTTCTTCTGTTTGCTCCTGAGATTATCCAGTGCAATAAGGGAAATCTACTTGGATTTTTAAATAGCTGATTTGATGGCTTTTTTCATTCTTTGATGTTATAAGAAGTTTAAAAGCTGACAAGCCCTTAGAACTCATGATACTCTAAGACCAGTGTAACTAGGCTTGCAGTAGCTGTTCCTGAGGGGTCTGACATGTATCACTAGCTGACATGACTTCAGTCATAAGGAATTTCCAGGCTGTTGCTACAGTTTATAGCAGCAAGGAATGACCTTGCAAAAATCTACTTAGAAAAACTATCCCAAAAACTGACATACAAAAACTGAATTTCTAATAAAAATGTCAGCTCAAGATTTGAAGTTCAGACAACAGGAAGAATAAAACATGTCTTTCACAAAATTATAGTAAGGCAATCAGGTGTACAAGACAAAATAAAACAAAACTTTGAAAAGATGTGTTCTATGTTCAGATACCTTTGGCCATCATAATGTACCTTTTTGCATGAAAATGTAGGTTAGCACTTCTGTAGCTGGAAACTGTTGGTCTTCTGCATAATCTATACAGCCAGACAATGCTATAAATTAGCACTGTTTTAAAACGTGGAAGTTTGTCAGTCATTCTAAAATCTTATTTAAATTTTATATTAAAAAAAATATAACCTGTTTTCTTTCATAGTCACCTGTTCTCTTTTTCATCAATGTCAGAGGTACTGGCCAGCCGTCTTGGTATTGTAGGTGCAACATATGCAAGTCGAGTTCCTTTTCCATCTTTCTCCTGAAAGACATTAGTTTCTCATTAATTGTTACTCTTATTGATTATCTTGTCTGTAAAAGCATCATTATGCCAACTCCGGCTGTGTTTACTGTTTATACAACTGACCTGATCATACAAATGAGTTTTAAGCTTTAGTTAACTATCATAAAAGACTACAACAGGAAAAGGAAACTGCAAATGTTTCCATTCTAGTGATGCAAATGACTTATTTCTCTTTTTTCTGCTTTGCTGCAGTACGATTCCAACAGTGATTCTTGAAAGCAACTGGTTTAGTATTTTTATATAGTACAGTACATTATTATTCTTAATCTTTAAATCATATAAACATTTGTATTTCAAATAGAAGCACAAGTTCTATCTTGTTCAGCTACCTGAACAACACTTGCTTTAGTGTATCCATGTTTAGTTACAGAACCAATTTTTGAAAATAAAAAATCACTACAAAATGAAAATGAATACAAAAGAGACTTCTTTCATTTACAAGATTCTTTTAGCATAATTCTCCAAGTGATGCAAATGCTATCAAATCTCTCATGTCCCCAGATTGTAAAAATGACTATTAGCTTTGCAAGTCCTAAAAAGGAATGAAATGCCAGACTTATGCACCAGGTCACCAGATACTGAAGGAACACATTACACTTTGAGAGATACTATAAAGAAGCCCTGTAACTTAACTTTGGAATTTTAGTAAAGAACAGATGAGTACTAAAATCTTACTTCTATAATACATGATTAACAGCCATACTAAGAAAGGTATATTAATTTCTCAAAATGTTGTTTTATCCTGAAAATTATTACCTTTTCTTTGTTGTCCAGTGAAGAGGAAAGTCTAGGACTTGATGCAGAACGCATAACACCTGCAGAGTCCTTTTCTTTCTGAGCTTCTTTGGAAGCAGTAATCTCTGCAAGTGCACCATAGCTACCAGTTTTTCTAAGACCCAACCTCCATGAAGCAGGAGATTCATCTTTCCTCTCTTCATCTTTGGGAGAAACCTTGGTTGTAGATGCTGGAAACTATAAAACACATGAAAATGCAATTACGTTATTAATTTATGTTATCTGTAGTAATTCATGTTCCTTGCCAAGATTCAAGAACACAACTGTTTTTAATAATCGTAAGTGCTGAATTTGTAGGGAAGTTGTAGTGAGAAGCAACCTATGCATTTTTCTCTTGAATTAGTCAATGAAATCAGAAACGTAAGACCAGTCAAGGAATACCACTCTTATAAAAGTTAGCTTACAAAAAACCACACTTTGTAATACACGCTGTGAACTTGAGATAAAAACTTAGAAACATGCAAATCTGGTATTAACGTTTTGATTAAATATGTTATTTTGCAACCTGTACATAAACCTGTGCATACAAGAACCTCACCATAGATTTTTCACCCTTATTGGGCACAAGAACAATGCCAGTTTTGCGCAAGCCCTGCCTCCATGATGCAGGATCTACTGACTCCACGACAGGCATGATAGGAGGAATGAAATCATACTAAAGCCAATTAAGACAAGACAAAGATGAAGATTGAAAGGAAGGAAAATAGAAACCAAAGGTTGTTTTAACACCATATAGTTTGTTCCTAGGTTTGTATTAGGTAACTCTTCATTACAACACAAAAATACCAAAAAAGCAGTAAGACAAGTAAAACCATAGCAACAGATAACAACTAAATGTAACAGGATGTTTAGCTCATTCAGAGACAGAACTACAGCCTGCATAGAAAAGAACAACAAAGCCTGTGACCTTACTAGGTCCGTGGCCTAAATCCTCACACTGTTGAGAATACTGGAAGATTCACATTAATATACCCCTTATCTTCTTACCATGTATCATTCAGATCCCCAAATTACGTCCCACACTAGCATGGCTATCCTCCCAGACTTGCCTTACCTTCAGTACCTGCAGTCACAGAGCAGCATTACTGAAAGCAATGCAGACTGAAGGAAACCTGACTTTAGCTTAGTATAGTGCATCTGCACCCCTTGGTTTGGCCATCTATGATGTAAAAGCAGAAGTGCAGCTACAGCAGATCAGATGGTGCCGACCCAAAAAGGCAGGTGCAAGATCACACACAGAGTGCTGCTTTACCTTCATTGGTGAAAAGAGTTTAAAACATTTTTGCTTATCAATAGAAGCTGTAACTGCTCCTTTAGATCACATGTACCTGCTATGTTACAAGCTCATAATTTTGATATAAAGTACATTTATTTTGTAGCTACAGGACCTGAGCTTTTCACATAGTAATAGGAAGATAACTGCAGTTTATTTTTAGCCTGCACTTTTTACCTAGAAGACCAAACTGTAAACCATTAATTTCTACATAACAGAATCAGAAGTGTACTGATGATTTATAAAAGCTTATAATTTAGCTTAAAATCAAGCTTATTTCCTCTCTTATGAAAATACACCCCCATATCATTAAATCACCTGCACCTGTTACAATAAAGTATGCTTTGTAAGATGTGCCACTATTAGGTTCTATTGTGTATATGGAAGTATAACCCCAGTAAGCTCCCAGGGGCAAAATACACTTTATAGGAGTCTCCTAGTAGTATGTCTTTTTTCTCTACTATGGCTGCAGTATATCATGGTTACCACTTCTCCTGAACATGCTTTTCAAATGCATCAGTACAGGGGTTACACTTTGATGATGATGTTTACAGAAAAGTTGTAATGAATTACAAATGAAGATTTACTGGCTTACTGTCCAGTTTGCTCTGATACACTAAAAGTTTGACTTCTGACTATGCACTCTTATCTACTGTAATTTTTTTCCCCAGGCATACCTATCTTCCCCATACCAAGTAAAACTCAAGTTCATCCAAATTAACGTTTCCTGTAAAGTTACAAGCCGTAAAAGCTTCCAGCAAGCAATATGGCTTTGCTAGGTGTGGCCTTGAGCTATGCATTGAATAAATCATGTGTCCCTATTATCTAGCTCTTCCATGAGGTCCTAACCACATTAAAACAGGGATGAGACCCACACAATTTTTTACTTCTTATTTCAGGTATAATTTTCAACTTCTGTGCCAAAGCACTAGGTGAATACTTCAAGGGACTCCCAAAAGTCACATAGTCATGCCTGTCTCTCTTGAATTAAATGCATCAGAACTACAGGCATAGTGAGACACTAGAATTGCAGCGTCTATAAATTCTGGAGGAGTTTGACATATAAAAGATTTTCAAAAGATGAAGTTTAGTTTCAGAAAAAAACAAGAAATCCACTCACTGTGCAACAGAATTTTTCTTTTTCAGAAGGATTTTACTTTTAACTATTTAATAGTTCTGTGTTTTAGGTCCCTGTGCACATTAAAGACATTCAAAATTTAAAAATAATTAACAGTTTCTGGGGAAGAATAGAAAGTATTTTAAGAATCTGTACATATTTTTATCAATTCACTGGTTAACCAAATCTACTACTTACACTAGAATCAAAAAAGATACTTACACAGAAAAAAAAGAAAGAGAAAATCATAAGATTACAAGATCATAGCAAATAAAAAGGTATTTTCTTTTACCTTCTTAACAGGCGATGTAGGTGCCCCTTGGCCACCAGCTACTGAAGGCGCCATCACAGCTACTGATGCTGATTGTGTACTTGCGGTATTTGCATTATTAGCTGCCAAGGTTTTGGTCTTATCTGCAAAATATTTACAAGTTTTTAATTTTCATTTTTCTTTTACAATTTCATCACCTTTACAACACTGAGCTGAATTTCTATCCAATAAATTTGACAGTTAACTTTATGACCAGCATTTTTTTATTTATTCCTCAGTATTTTCTCCCTCACTCCCAATCTACATCTTAGCTAGGTCCACCATTTTCTTCTAAACGGTTTTCCATATAACAATTTTTTTGTATTCATCAGGTGTTACCAGTCAGAGATGCAGAGACAGAACTACAGAATCATTCAGGTTCAAAGTGACTCAGAAGATTACCTAATTCACCCTTCTGCTCAAAGGAGGGTCAATACTGCCTATGAATCAGTTGCTTAAGGTTTTGATGAGTTACATCTTGGAAACCTCTGGAGACAGAGATTTCAGTCTCCCCACACAGCCTGTATTTTAGCAGCTGGCTAATGACCATAAAAACTGTAACAGCAGGAGATATGTTAGCATCTCATCTGATCTCATTAATGTATATAAATATCTCAAAAGCAGATGACAAGGATGGTGCCAGACTCTTCTTGGTGTTGTCCAGAGACAGGAAGAGCAGCAATAGTCATAAACTACAATACAAGAAGCTCCACCTCAACATGAAGCAGAACATTGAGGGTGACAGAGCACTGGAAGAGGCTGCCCAGGGAAGCTGTGGTATCTCCCTCTCTGGAGACATTCAAAACCCACCTGGATGCTTTTGTGCACAACCTGCTCTAGGTCACCCTGCCTCGGCAGGAGAAGTTGGACTTGATGATTTCCAGAGCTCCCTTCCTACCCTGACTATCCTCTGATTCTGTGATTCTGGAATAGTTATTTCAAACTACAGAAGGCAGGTGCTAATTCAAAGTGAAACGTTTATTCCCTGATAACTGTGCGTGTTTGAGTTCAAAGAAATAATTAACTGTACAGAGAACCCAAGCAGGAATTCTGGTCATCAGAATGAGCTGAGGCAGGGACTTGCCTTCCAGAGCACTTAATTCCTTCTTTGTCTCTTGTTTTTCTTACCTACATTTCACTGTCTGCCTACCTAATCTCTTCTGCTTTGTCCAAATTTCTTCCTCTGTCCATGGTTCATGAACCTTAACCCTTCTTACACAAACACACAGAAAGTGTCATGATTGAGATACAACAACTGCTGTCACTGCTTTTGCTTGAGCTTCATAAAATTACCCCTTGCTTCTCTTTTATATATTTGAACTGCACATTCTTTGGGCTTCGATGTTGCCTCCTATCTATTAGTGCAATATGAAGCAACATGGGGTTTAATCCCCACTGGTTTTGGCCTTACTATAGACACATCTTTCCATCTATGTGACCCATACAGCCTAGGAGCAATTAATTTAGAAAGTATAGAAGGTTTTCATGCAATGTGTAACTCACAGTATTGGTGTTACACACTTGTTTTAGTTATGGACATAGTTGAACAGATGTTTTGAATGTTGCTTATACAGGAAACAAATACAAATATAAATAGCTTACATGATCAACGGCCCTGTATGGGAAGTTCTTTATAAACACAAGAGAAAAAAAATTGGTGGTGAAATTCTAGGTGACAAAAAGCTGAACAAGGCAATGTGGACTGACAGCATGATTTGAGATGATGCACAGGCAGATCTGATAAAAATCTGTAAGTAATATATCTTAAAAATACACAGAAATTATTCCTTAAGCTTTAGATTTCATTTTTCCAGGTTCTGTACTGCATTAGGATATAACTTCATATAAAGTGTCAGCACATTCTCCTCAAAGTTTAGTCAGAAAAAACAATCCTTTTCCAGACTAAGAACCAAGAACACCATTGCAGCTTCAGTCCCAAAAGTTATAAACAACAGTGAATTGAAGTGAGCAATCTGGGCGGATGGGACTTCATAAACTGAAGCTGTAATTGGACAATTAACATGAATATGTAAATGGACCAAAAGTTATAAAAGTCTAAAAACTTGTGACCTGACATCCATCTTGGGTGTAGGCTTGGCTGGGCTCTTGTACTGCCCAAGGTGTATCCTTGGAAGGCCTTTAAATAAATACCTACTTTATTCCTGTAACACTGTCCAGCCTCTGCTCTAGGTGACATCTCAAGGCATCAGAAAAAGTTATCAGGAGTGAAAGCATGGAAGGAGAAAAATGGATTTTTCACAACTGGTTTCTGGATTTTTTTCTAGAGCAGCAAGAACACACTTGTATGCATGACTGAGCTGATATGGACTAATTAAAAGAAAACTATAGTATGTCAAAAAAAGTAAGTTACAAAACATGAATTGATGAAAATTTTATTTTTTATCTTGTTTCCCTGTCCTTTGCAATATGCTACTTTCATATTCATGCTTCCCTTCTTGGTCTTACAGATAGAAGTGTATTTATATTTAAACTATATCCTCATGTAACCAATGAAACAAAAACACAGGAAAACATTTTAATTATCCCAAAAGATTCAAAGTCATAATTTCCAGTATTTCAGAATACTGAACACTGTTAAAATATTTCACAACCAGAATGCTCCTTATAACAATAATATTTTTCACTAGAAAAATATTACACTACCTTAAGCTGAATAATGGTAAAAAAAACCCGGAAATTAAAATCTTGGAGATGTAGCTTAGAGATGTAGCTCTACAGGGAAAAGCTTCAAGTCTATCTTGCCAAATAAAGTATGATAAAGCCTTGTTGAGATTAAAACCCTCAAAGTTTACATAAATTAATTCTTGAGTCCCAGTCAAATTTTCCTGGCACAAACTACAGGCAATGAAGAGAACACAGTTACCAGAGCCATAAAGTTCAGCAGACATTATAGTCAGCTCAGTGACAGAGAAATTACTACATGTTATATATTGTAAGTAGTTTGAGTTTATCAAAGCTCAGTAAATAATGGATTTAAGTACCCCAAGGTAAAAAAGTAATTTAAAAGTCTGCCAGACACTTTCTCAGCTTAATACTGAAATGCCAGATTACCTCAAACTACAAAAAAAAAAAAAAAAATTAAACCATAATAGAAAGTTTGGTTTTGCAAATTATTTTTACTTCTACCTACATTAAATGCTTATGTGAGATTATTAGCTCTAAAATACATCCTTAGTCTTATCTTTTCAGGTGAAGAAATTAGAATGTATTAAAATAAAAACCGACAGCTCACCAAACCCAGTTATTTTTAAAAGTTTATGTATAAAATATTAACGAGCTGTTTCTAATGAATTCCATGTCTATGTATTGTACTGCTGCATTGCAATTCTAATATTCTTTATTAGGATTAAACATACATCTTTAAACACTTATTGCCAGATACTTATTCTCTGGTTTGAAAGGAAAATACACTATGTTGCTCTTTTATCGGTACTTGCTACTCTGATAATTGTTCAGTACACACTGAAATTATATGCACTACTACTTTATAAATACTTGAGCCAGATTAATTGGTAATTACTTCATTATGACAAGAACACATGAGAATGTTTGCATTTCTGCTGATCCAATCTCTGTACTAGTTCCACCAGCAAATACTGCTGAGAAGTCTTCCTCTCTAATTTGATCTTCTAAATTTTTCAGTATTTCTGACATGTTACTTCAGGCTTATATTGTTCTATCTATCAAATTAACAGCATCTATTGGTTAAGCAGCCAATCAAGTAAGCCGGCTAATAGCTTTAACCTAAGTAGCAACCAGTAAAGACATCCATTTGATACATCTGTTATGACTCAACTTTAGACATATGTAAGCTTACTTTAAAATAACTGGAAACTTAGTAAAATACAGAGGAATAAGTGAAATGTAACATACTTAACTCTGTATCATGTGATATTAAACAGGTACATTTATAAAGTAAATATTTAATGAAATGGAATGCTCCAAAAATATACCTGTCTCTGCTTCAGATTCTGAGTCATCATCTTCTTCCTCTTCACTAGAACAACTGGATTCATCCTTCTTTCCTTCTTCTTCTTCATCTGCTTTCTCTTGCTCCAGAGACTCTATACTAGATGCATTCTTTTCTTGCTCCATAATCAGTGTCTCCTTACTGAGTTTGTAAAGAGAAGTATTTATTAAAGTACTGAAAATTTTACTGAAGCCTGTTAAGTAAGACTTCGTGACAGCTGGTAAAGTCATCTTTTTAAAGACTTTATATATATTTTTTTTACTTACTTTTTAAATGTTTTCTGTGTCTGATTATTATCCATGTTGGCTGTGGATTCAATTAGGGGAGATTTCTTTTCACGTTTTTCACTATGAAGCTTCAAAACAGAGAATGATGCAGTTTAATTCTTAGAATAGCACCAGTGTGATTAAATAACAAATGGAGGGGAATCTCTAAATACTACAGACACTAGAATGCATAAAAACTTTCAAAGGATGAAGCTCTAAAAATCATAGAAACTGTTATTCCAAGTAAGATGCTCAATGTTGATACCTCAGATCATAAAATGCCCACTGGACATGGCAAGTTGTAGATTGCCTTTTTCTTCCAAGGCTTTTTTGGTCACCACAGGTGGCCAAGTAAGGGCATAAAAGACATTTGGAGATGACTGTGGCGTCACCTGAATTGAAGCCCTGAATTTAGAATTTTGGTTTTAATTTAAACCCTGTCCTGAGCTGGATACCATAATCATATGTATATTAAAATGCAACATACATACATACATACATACATACATATATATATATATATATATATGCACAAGGCCTACCAGATTCTGCTTCTTTTGTAACTCTTCTAAATATCCTAGAATATCTTCATCTGCCACATCAAATGCTGTCTGACCCTAGAGAAGGGAATAAGTAAAACACTGTAATTGTACAACAGACTTTAAATGTATCAGACTACAATGTCTTCTCATCACATGATGATGCAGGTTAAGGAGAACGTTTAGAGAGAAATTGGAAAATACGAATCAAGCTCTACTGCAAACTGTTAGTCTGTCAGTACTAGAAAACAATTTTGCAATATTCCTTTTTTTTGGGGTGCGGGGGGGAATTCAAACAAAAACATTTATACCTGATGAGTAAACACATTTTTAAGTGATAAAGACATGACAATAAAGTTTACTGTCATTTAAAGGAAAAAAAGAACACCATGAATGAAAAGTAGATTGATGATTATAATCTCACAGTATTAGTGCCAAACAATGTTCACAATGACAGCTGAATGGATGGATCTGAGCAGTTCAGTATCCTGCCCATCTTAGACTATCACATATAGCTTGATTTTTGAAGTTTTAATGATTTAAGGGAGCTGCACTAAATTTAAGCAGTCATGCATTCACATTTTACAGCAAAACTGTATTTTGCAATTTACATTCTATTTTGTAAAAGATCTGCTAAAACCACTTGCTATTTCTCCTCAGGGTGATTTCCACAGGACATATACTTGAAGGCTGGAATCTAGGCAAAGTCGTATATTCACTGGCATAAATGAAGCTGCATCAACATGCTGGGTGGGCTTACTGAGATGCTGGAGGGACCACAACAAGATCAAACTAGGAAGTATTTCTGTACAATAACCAGTAATAAAAACAGAGCTGTCATTTAAAAGTGTCCACAGCAGCTTATAAAAATAATGAAGGGTGTTCCTGTTTGTCTGTGCTTATTTCAGTTTCTCAAAATGTTAACTAAAGGCAAACTTATTCCTAATTATACTGTGAAGATTATCTTAACTAGTTAGAAAGGATGAAACTTTAAATCACTATTTCTGATCATACGGCAGAAGCATGTGCACCTTTCAACAAGCATTAGCCAAAACAGCTTGAGGTCTTCTGCCACGTGAATCATTATCACAAATTTGTATTTGCATTATAACTACAGTTTTTAATATGGCCTTCTATTCAGGTAGCTAATACTTGGTAGTTAGACCTACTATGACCACAAAAAGCCACTTTGCACAACACTGTTGCAGTTGGAAGGTTACATCTCAAACCCAACTCTGCAACAGTTGATAGCTGAAGTAACGTGCCTAAACAATAATGGCTGAGTTCTCTGAGATGCTAAGCACATACAATTGAAACCAAATAGAGTTTTCAATTCTCGTATCTTCAAAAGCAAAAAACCACACTTTTCTTAAAAACAGGCAAGCTTTCCTAGCTTGCACAGACAAGTCCATATACAAAAAAACCCCCAAAAAACAAAAACAAACCTGATAAGTCTCTATGCCTCCTTTTTCCTTATTCCTGTCCAGTGGATTTGAATTTACTTTTATGAGAGTGCTCTCTAGTGTATAATGTCTACATTTTCACAACCCCAGTAAAAAAATCTAACACATAAATTGGAAGCAGAACAGAATCTATCTGTAAAACACACTATGAAGAGAAGAATGAGAGCACTTACATGGCTGAATGAAAAGGTTTGGATCCTTTTGATGGCTATGTGGACTCATGAACATAATTATGTCTATTGGGAGCAAGATCAGCAAGCTACACAGGCCATTGCATAAAAGTCAAAGAAATAGAGCTTAGAAAGCATTCAGGTTTTGTCCAGGGGATCCAGAGTTTCTTCCATCACACCCAAATCAGCATAATATAGTGACAACTCTTCAATATACCAACTCAAAGAGTTAAAACACTACCTAAAGCTATCATCATTATCTTCAGAGATCAAATGAAAGCCTAAATGCAATCCATCAAGTCACTAATTCTGTACCTCTGAAATGCCAACAAACTCTTTCAATTATGAATTTTCATGTCAAAGAGTGAATGGATCATTTAATACAGAACTAAGCATAAAGTTGGCCCGGAAAATAATTTAGACAATCATAGAATTTAGTTCTGAACACAACCATGCTGTTTTGACAACACATGCATTATATAAAGCTCCATGTACAGTAAACAGCAGTTTATCATCACTTTTCTTACCCTGGCTTCTAAAGTCACTTTAGAGACCAGAACTTTGTATCTTGACAAGGATTACATAAAAATCCTACCACTTTGTTGACAGCCTCCATATCACATAGGTTTTCCACTAAAATGCGACATGCTTCTTCTTTACCCCAGTGTGCAGCAGCATGAAGTGGTGTCCAGCCATCATAATCTTTAATATTTACATCATAGTGAGCCTGTATTAAAAGCCTGAAGAAATTAAAAGAAATAGATCTTGACACTGCTGACAGGGATAAATAAATTTTCATTAAAATTTTAGAACTGCTCTATGGTAATATCTTTCTTATCTTTTCTCAAAGATATTTTAGTTGGGCTACTGACAATTGATTAATTTTACTTCTCACAGAAACATCTGCCTTTTCATTGTTTAGCAGGTGTGTATACATATCTTAAGGAAAATTCAAAAAACTAGTATTTTCCATTTTCTTGTCTATTCACTTCCTCTCCAAAGACCATTGCTTTTACAGTTAGATATTCTCTCTGTACATGCAGTAATAGGTAAAAGGCTTTTTAAGGAAAAGTAGTAAAATGTAAAAAATTGTTAGATACTGTGTTTTTATTAGTAAACTATTAAAACCTCCTTCCATTCTAAAATTAGCTTCTTGAAACTTTCACTTCCTGTCATTAACTTTTTGCAAAAATCTAGTGTTTACATGCTTCAAACTGCTCTCTGAGAGGGAGCAGAGCTCCTCAAAGAAACAACTGTTCTGCCTTCATTCAACACTCGCATTCATCACAGTTCTCAGGTGAGCATCACAGTGACAAAGGACACTTAACCTAACAAGTATTTTTATGTAAAGAGCTAAGAGCTGTCTGAACCACTGTCCATAATTGTTAAAAATCACCTAAGAACAATCTTTTCAAAAAATTCCCTCAGTTTCTAAAGAGCCAATATACTTATAGTAATATCCTCCAATGAGTCAACCTTCGCACATGCTGAGCTGCAGATCTTGCAATCTTGCATCCAATAAAGAGCACATATTTTTGATAATTTCAAGCAGTCATAAAAATTGCCTGCACATAGGTTTTGCCTCTCCTAGGAGAAATATACAGACTGGACCACAAAAAACACAATGACTGAGGGAGCTAAAAAACACCCAAACAGTTATAGATACAACTCCCTTATAAACACCTGCTACTCTAAAACAAAAATTCCTCTTTTTCAACAGAATAATTTGTCTTCATCATGTTGAAGCATCAGGGTTTTTTGAAACAGAACTCCCACTCAATAAATTGCTCTGCAGACCTTAAAGGCACCAATACTCACAAGTCAAGATGCGTGCTCATTTTCACTCATGTTACAGTTTGTAAGATTTCTTAGCTTTGCTAAAGCAAGCAAATAAATTTACAACCACGTTAAAGCAATGTATTACTAACTATGCTTTACTACAATAAAAGTGGAGCTTTGATGAAAAAGAAATTAAATATGTTATGATATGCATTGATATTACATTATGAAAAGCTGTGAATTAGGAGACATCTGAAGCCTAAAGCTTTCCAGGGAAGATTTCAAGAGTCATGACTTAAAAACATCATCAAAACACGAAGTTAAATTATCTGGTTTTCAAGTGTAAAAACGTTTAGCCTGAACTACAAACTCTGCTTTATTTATGGAAATAAATATGGTGTCCTGAAAATATGCACCAACCAGGATGCTACCTGGCATTATAAAAACTTAAGCTTGTTTACATAGCTGCATTTAGAAACAGGGCAAGTTTTTAATCAACTTTCTTCTTTTACAATCAGTATTTAGGCTCAACATATATACTGTATTCATATTTTGAATGACTTAGAATAGAAAGCTAACCACATCAGGATTTATGAGTGCTTGAAAACATAAAATCAAGCTTTGAGAATAGCTTGTTCTAGAGAGACTGGGATTTTCAAGATACACTCTCTAGAAGTTAGAAGTGCCCAATTCCAAGCAGCATTACATCAAGACAATAAAATATAAAAAAGTTAAACCACGCTTACTTTAAGACTTCTGTATAGCCCTTAGCAGCAGCTACGTGAAGTGCTGTACCACCAGATTTTGCATGCCTGACATCATTTATATGGCCACTGTTGAGCCACTGTCTTGCATCTCTTAGCATTATTCGTTCTTCTTCTTTTCGAGCTGATTCTATATCAACCCCTAATTCAGACAGAGAGGGGGAGAAAGGAAGAGAAGACACAAAGTATTTAGTTCAAATACTTCAATTCAATTATATAACAAATTTTAAGTCACATTTATATGATACAGTAAAAAATATATAAATCTGATTAATGTTCACAGTTAGATATGAATATTTTTTTTAAGATTAATTCCAAGGTTATGGAAACATCCAATATTGTAAGACAACTTGCATAATGCCTTTTATAATGAAAAGAGGGTCTAGGTGGACAAAGTATTATATAAATAAATAATAATCAATCTACTAAAACTCTTCTATGTCTACCATCGCACTAATAACCACTGAAGTGACCTGTTAAAAAAAAGAGAAAAATTCTGTTTTAATTTTCTAAGCACAAAAAAAAAGTTTGTTTTGAGGTATCTGTATACAGTAAAAAACAGTTGAAGTTGTTTTATAAACAGATCTCTATGGGAAGAGAAACAATCTTGCTTCTTAACACTAATGACAAGATGGAGCTATACCTTTTATACTGTCTAAAGAATTAATCACAAACCTTATACACAAATAGACAACACTTTGGATATTGCACTTCATAGCTCTACTAAAAAAACACCCAGAACACTGAAAACTTTTTGCAGTATGTCTCAGGAAAAAATTATATGCTGATGGAAAGGGAGAAACACAGTCCACCATCATAATACCTGCAAGTATATGCATCAGGTTAAACAAATGGGAATAAATTCTAGACCCTGAATGGGTAATACAAACACATTATTTGCAAGCATTTTTGTAAATAGTACTTAAAAACATAGCAGGAAAGAAATCTTGAAAAGAACTGTGCATGAGCATAATTCTATCTGTGATGGCTAAATGGTGACAAATCATAAGGAAAAGCAATTTAGAAACTCTGATCATCAAGAGCACAAACTGCATCCAGGTTGACCTCTACCAGAAAATCGTGGCCCAACCTCAACAAAATGTTTTTATGTATATGATTTCTCCAATCTTACACATTGGTACGCAGGTACTTGAGAGATATATACTGTAAAACTTTATGCTAAAGACAATCAAAAGATAAAACTTTACTAAGTACCATAAAGTAATTGAAGCAAGTTAAACAGTGTTCTGGGGACTTGACTGAACTCCTAGATTCATTCAATTAATTGCCCAGCAAAATGATTCTAATCTTGACAATTTAGGTAAAAAATGAACAGAATTACATTTTATCAGAAACTGATGAAAAACTATAATCTGGATGTTGACTCTCCAAGATGCAGGAAGACAGACAAGGCTGTTAAAGGACTCAGCAGAGGAAAAAGCTGAAAAACTTTCCAAGTATGACAAGTATGAAGAGTGAAGACCAAGAACTCTGAATCAATAATACACTGATAGTCACATATTCTCATTCCTCAGGAAGCTCCTACATATTGATATCTGAACTACTAACTTCATGGGCCTGAGCATCTGCTCGCCTTTCAGAATGACACAGCAGTGATCAGCAGATCCTGGGACAATACTCTAGAATACAGTCATTTACACATCAGTGCTGCCTGCAAAATACTACTATATAAATAAATAGTGTATGCTTGATCATCTCTTAGTCACATTTATGTCCATTCCCTTTTTGCATGCTCAAAGTCCAACTGTGAATCCCCTTATCAGCATGAGTAACCTTCTCCACCTGAAGAATCTGAAAAAATTCCTATCAGTGTAAAACTGGCATTTACATAGATGTTTGTTCTGAGGCACTTCGGTATAAAGGAAGAACAGAGAAAAAAAACTCATTCCAGACCCTGATCTTTTGAGCTTCTAATGGGTCACATCTAAGCTTACTTTCCAGACAGGCCTAAGGACCCAGGATATTATCTCATAACAGCAATGCTTTTGCATTGCTAATACTAATACTCAATATAGATTTTCATTACTATAACAAACTATTGCATTTCTGAAGCCCAAACAAAATATAATGGTTGCAGAGGAGTAATGGCTGTATCAATACACTATTTTACAAGACAGTAAATTTCAGATCATATTTCAACAGAAGAAAGAACCAGAATCTTGCCAATCTAAATAAAAACAGTCCACATTAATAATTGGCGTGAAAATCGGAATTAAACTTTGTGGCACAGAAAAAAAGCTGTGCTCTAAGATAAATACAATTCCCATTATTAACTACAGAAAACGGAATGTAAACAGCCTTTATTATACCTTGTATGGGCCTCTCTCTTTCCTTTTGTTGTCCAGACCAGTGGAAAAGAAAATGCTCATCATCTGTTTCCAACCCTTTCTCCCGACGGCCCATAGATGGCAATGCGCTGCCTCCCAGCTCAGCCTCAGCCACAGCACTCGGTCACACCACCAGTGCGCTTAACACCTCTGGCAGCCTAACAACTTATTAATAATTCGTTGCTAAATGCTTCTACTTTTTTCTGATCAACAAGTGTTACTCAACATCCCCAAACAGGTCTGAAAACAGTGTGCCATTCAGTGAGAATTTAATGAAAATTCAGCATAAATTTAACTGCTGAATCATTGTTTCAGGACGACTCAGCCATATAAAGGCATGTTTTATAGATACTGCAGGAAAGATCAACCTACTTTTTACTTCATGAAGTGAATGTTTATATACAAATGTAATAGTTTGCATTTTATCCACATAAACAAATCTGAGTTAAGCAATAAATCTGGGAGAGTCTTTTTACGTTACCTATAATTAAGAATGAGGAACATGTGTTTCTCCTTGGAACAGGAGGAGTGACCACTCTGATACTTACTGAACAAATAGCTACCACACTAAACCCCTGGTTCACCTCACATTACCTCTCCCCACTAACTCACCTCCTGAGAATGTTTCCCATAATTCAAAATAACTGCTTAAGCAGTTAAAAATAATTTTAAGAGGACATCTGATGATCAACAGCTAAAAAAGTAACTTCAAACCATTATACGTAACCCCACTCAAGCCCTGAGGAGAGACAACGCTTAAAACTGGCCAGGGCTGGCCAAAACTAAAGCCACATCTCTTTCAAGTCTGCTGGTTTTCAGCAGTGCAAATGAAAACTTTACTGGTAAAAAATAACTTCCACAACTCTGTGTTGAAACACTGCAGAGTAGAAACACGACAGGTCACAGTGAGAAACTAAATAGTATTTTTGATGAAGCTAAATGATTCTGAGAATTGCAGGGGGCCCCAGATATACATGGGGCTGACCAATGCTAAAGATACTAGTCATATGGAGGAACAACAAGTCCTTGATAAAGGGTTTTTTATAACACACAAAACAGTTTAGCCATATGGAGTGAAAACAGAACAGCTGTTCAGCATTATTCTGGATAATTTCCATAAAACACCTGGTTTTGTTATCTGTGAAGTGTTTGTAACTGGGTCAAAAAAATCTTTATACCTTACTTGAGCATGTAATTTATCCACTCACAAATTACAAAACAAAGGTAGGTTTTAAGCTTAAAGAATAATTAAGCCAATAATTCCCCACTGAAGATTAGGGCAGAAAAATATTTTCCTAACTATCAGTGGTACAGCTTCAATTACAGGATACCTATTCTCTTAGTTCATAATTCCTGCACAGTCCATTATGTCAAGTCAAGCTATTTGCTCAGCAGGATACAAGAGGACACACGAAAAGGCACCTGGCCCTTGGTGCAATTTAGAGGTGCAGCATGTGGGGATCAGAATGACTAAAGAAAAACAGACACTGGATAATAATACTAGAAATCTTTATTCTTTAATGGCCAACACTCAATACAATAGAACTTGAATAACAAGAAGATTATTTTGGATCAGTGACCATCTCCTTTCTAGTCAGATCAGACCATGGAGCCTGAATACTAAAATAGGATGAGGAAGCATTGTAGATCCTTCCTTTTATTAAGCCTGCATTGTATTCTATGATTTATTTTTGTGCATTTAGTGTCTCTAGAGACTTCCACATTTTGTCCTGTAATAAGACATGTCCTTAAAATACAGCATGATAGCTGCCAAAAATTGGGCATAAGCACAAATTGATGATTAACAGAATGCTGAGTAGCTGAGTAGTCTGTTTTGACATTTCCTATAGAGACATAAGGCCTGCAAAAGCTGCAAAAAAGGAAACATAACAAGTGATTCTTCTTGGATTTCTAACCAGAACAAACATAAAATATCATTACTTAAATCTAAATCACAATGAACTTGACCAATCTTTCCAAGCAGTTTTTTGCCACCAAACAACTCTGACAACTGCCAATACGTAGGAAGCCAAATTTACAGCATTAACACTGCAACACAAAAATGAAACTACAGTGAATGTAGGAATAAATACATGTAAGGGTTTTGAGGCAAAAATGTTATGGAAAATGCCTACTTCATTTTCATACTGCATATTTTATCTACACAGCGATAGGCTATTTTGTCACCCAGGCTTGTTTATTTTCAAAATAAATATGCTGGTCTTCCATTATCCTTAACACTGAGGCAGGGCTGATCATTCCACAGACCCCACTGTTAATTTGCATTATCAAAATTGTGGCAATGCTTTATTTGATATGAAGGAGTGTTTAATATGGAAGAAATACAAATTATCTTACTGCTAGAGAGATAATTATATTCAGCTATATGTATAGCCAAACATGAAACCGTCACAATGCCTCACTGTTAACTGCACATTAAGAGAAACAATTAGGTTCCTATTTTAGAGCTAGTAACTTCTCTAGCCACAACACACACAATTACACACTTTTTAAGTGATTCTGATAATGACTAAATAATCCTTTTTAAATGTAACATTAATATACAAATTTATGTAATATCTACATGCAAGCCAGGATGCCATCAAAGGTGCATAATTAAAACATTATTGCTGAGACAACTATCTCATGATTTAGTAAGATGCATTGTAAGTTCCCATCCAGATTCATACCCTTTCTATTCCATTCTCATCCTCAATCATGAAATACTTCGATTTTATCTCTGCATATAAAAGCCCTTAGTTCTTATGTCTTCAAACACAAATTTAGAAGGAGGGATAATGCATGCCTTCTTCCCTGCTTCCATGAAACAAACAAGCAAATCAACTGCCATGAAAATGCAAGAGGAAGGAAAGTAGGTTGTCCATACCAACTTTAGTATTTTAAAATAACCTTACAAGCTAATAGCTACAGTGTGGGAACACATACCTTCTTCTCAGATTTATAAAGATAGTACCATAGACAGTTTACAGTAAGCTTCAATTGTGAAATAAGTAAACCTCACTGAAATTTTCAGTGCTGTGGCATTATGCTAATTTTACAACTGGGTTGTTCAAAATAATTTAACTAAACTTCCAAAAGAATAAAAATTAGTGTTGTAATTAGTGATGTTGAATATCTGCATTATAAAAATGTATGTAAAATTCCATATAATAAAATATTTATTAAAAAAAAAAGCACTAACATATAAAAGCGATATTTTGGAGGAGTTAATTCCCCAAACAATTCCAATTTCATAAAGAGTTACTGCGGTCATTTAGTATCGCACATCAGTAAAGCCAAGCATTTCAAGAACAACCTTAAAAAATCTAGGCTGAGATGCATTCCAGAAGCAACTCTCAAGCAAGACTGATAGTACTGTTAAAAAAGAGAACAACTAATTAAAATAGAGAAGTGGTAATACAGACAAAAAATACACACAACTAACTGTCTAATCTGATGTTCATTGTGTGTTAACTGTAAAAAGTGCTAATCAAATTTCTGTTACCACTACAAATTAACTGAATCAAAGTCTTTGCAAATCCACCGTCTACTTCTGTGTATCAGTAGGTATCTCTTATTTCCCTACAGATCTTGTCTTCCAGTTTCTTTTCACCAATTGCTTTGGGCATTAAACGAGTTTAAGCATATAAATTAAAACTGGGCAAAGCCTGAAACAATTACTAGTTTACTGTTAAATTATGTAAATCTGATTTAAGGGACAGACACTTAAACACTATACATTCTATACTGACCAACTCTCTTAAGAAAATAAATTTACTCTAACAGCCCCAATTTAGCCCAAGTTTTCAAAAATACATTTAGTGTCCATAAATACAACCACCCTTCTGTATTACCTTGTCTATTTACTTCATTCTGAAGCAGCTCTTCCATTGCCTCTTCTTCAGCAATATCTAATGGAGTGTCTCCTTCACTATTTACAGCTCCTACATGTGCTCCTTGACTAATTAAATACCTGTCAAAAGACAAAGAAAAAAAGCCTGTAAATAACACAGCAAAGCTGATGCTAAAAAAAAACACAAACTAATGTATCAGCCACTAAAATATAATATGCAGACATAGAATTAATAGAAACATTGATATTTGGTGTAAGTACAAACCCTTTTGACTGCAACCTGTGAATACCCATGTCTTTTCATCCTAATACCCATTGATACAAATAGTCTTCTGGTGTTAGCTTGCCAAAAAGACTCCTGACATGTTCATTCATACCTGAAAGAACTGAAAGAAGAAAATAGCTAGATAATGACCAAAAGTGATGACAAGGTGAACAAGGATGGAACCACTAATTCCTGTGACCTCCTCTTATTAAGCCACTTTTCCTGTAAGTCAGTGGCATGTACAATTTACCAAAATGATGACTCCTGATCTCTTCAGCAGCTTCTTAAAGTCAATAAACACAAAACTACATCTCCTTCTAAGTACTCATAAGGTCAGTTTTGGTGGGGAAAAGGCAAGAGGGAGAAAGAAAACAGTATTTTACACATTTCAATCCCATTATGTTTTCTTATTTAATATGTTGTTGTCTCAGGAGCCAAGAACCCAAAATTCTCAATTTCCAATTACATCAAAGGATCAATTCCAACAGTAGATCACTAAAGTATTATATTATTTAACTGTATGAAACCATAAACCTATGAAGTTATTGACAAGCTACAGTTAATGAACAATTAAAATTAATCAATAGAGTCTTGCAGCTTCTGACCATAGTATTTCCATTTACCTAAAAAATGCAATACTTTGAGCCATGACAGAAGTCAAGACAAACAAAAAGCTGCAAACACACGTCCTGTCTTGCACAGCTTAACTCATATATTCCATATATTTGAGGGAAAAAAAAAATATCAGGACACACTGAAGAATCAATCATCTGTCATAACAGGTGTACAAAATAAAGAGTGCTTTCCTACCTTCACTATTACAGAATGCCAAATTATGCAGGAGACAATCACAAAATTAATCCAACAATAATACAAATGCTAAGTACTTTATTGCTGCCTTAACTTCTGCCAATTAATTATCATCCTAGACAGCTGGAATCTTTATCTTTAACCAATAACTCAGAATCAAATACTCTAATATATCTGTATTTTTTAATGTATGACTTAACTAGTACTTGTTACTAAATCCCTGTAATTATATCAAGAAGTGGTAAGAACTAGTAGACCGCAAAATGAAAACTAGTTCCCAGAAATGCAACTATTACCTCCTGACATATACATCATCAGTTACTACTAACAGCTTTGATGCTGGTATATCATGTTGGTTTTATACTGCTGTTCTTGAAAGAGTGCTGTGCTTTAACTCTGACATCCCACCTTTTAAGAGGTTGAACTTCTGCAGGAATGAAAAATTAATACAGAGGAACAATATTTCTCAACAACACTAGCTGTATTAACAGTGAAACATCTCCTCAGGTCACAGATCAGGTAATTGCTATGCAGGCATTTGCTAAACAGGCAATAACAGCACTGCGGAAATTAACTCTTGTACAAAGTCAAAATAAAGTCAACCATTTACAAATGTATCTTTATTAAAAAATCCAAGCAAATATTAAATGTTCTTTCAATATTTATGTTTTAATATAGACAGGAAAAAAAATTTAATGTATTTCCACATAATACCTCTAGCAGAAAATTAAACCACTTCTGTAAGGAAAATACATATCTCATTAAAGCAGTTGTATTTCGTCAACTGGGTCAACAACTTCCAGATATGATAAAAGAAGGAATGCATTAAAATGGTAGGGAATTAATAAAAGGCTTGCATAGCATTTTAAAAAGTTATTATTGCTATAGATGGAAAACTTCACAATTAATTGATCCTTTAAAGCAGACTTCAAAATGAAGCTGCCTAAAGATCAAAATCAGATCAGCAATGCTAGGGGATTAGTAGGCTTGAAGAAGTACAGTTATGTGATTTCCCTTTTGCAAGTGCTTACAGGGCTTTGGTTTTCCTGGGTCAGCAAAGCAAGCATAGGTGAACTTGCTCCAAGTTCACAGGATTTAAAAGGATGGAAGAAACACAAGAAAGATGAAAGGCAGCACACTCCTTGCCAAAGAAGTGAGAACACACTTTTCCCAGCCTTCCTTCAGCCACTCCAACTAGGCCTCTCTGCTGCTATCCCTCTCAAAAAAATAAGTGATCCCCTTACGAAAACTGTTTAAAGAACATTATTTACGATAAACCAAGTAACTCAAATTCCAACTATTTTAAAGACACCTTTTAATGTGCAAACTTTTTTCACCTGATAATGAAATCTACATTTGTTCTCTTTTCCATATCATTCAGATTACCTAGTCCTGTAAAAGTGTATTATGCATTTTTAAACTTACAGTACAGCTACTTCCAGCAAAGCAATGACAGGGTTCACACGGTACATAAAGTCAACCTACTACCTACAGAATCAACGGTTTCATTAGAAACTTAGTGCTACCAATGGAAAGGAGAGGAATAATTTTCCATGTGTTGGTAACTTGACTCTGCATTACATACACAAAGAAAACAGATTTGGTAAACAAGACCAAGCAAATCATGCCCTGACTTTGTAGGGCATAATTGAGCAGAAGACAGCACCAGAATAATCCCAAGCATAAGAAGATTTTGCTGTTTACATAAGAAAAATAGTTCTCAAATGAAATGCATTTCAAACTAAATGTTAAATAAAACTTATATAGACTTCAAATAAGTGTGTGTTTGACATTTCAGTTACCCCGGTACCATATACTAAAACCTTTACATGTTACTGTGTATTATTGTGTGTAGGTATGTATGCATATATTAAGACTTCCATGTTTTTGGAAAAAAACCCAAACAATGTATACAAACAACTGCTTGCATTTTACCTTTTTAAAGTAGATGTTACCTTCATCTTGAAATTTCATCTTTCTAAAACAAGCAAACATAATATAACTTCATTTCTTTGATAGATATTTAATTTACACAGCTACATGTATACAGTGAAAATGAAATTGAAGTTGTGTAATAAAAAGTCCGGACCCATGCATTTTGACACCACGTCTATAAAAAGGTGCTTTATGTAAACTTGGAAGCAGTGAAAAAGTAAAAACATGTTAGATTTCCACCATCACCTACTAAACTTTTTTGGTATAGCACTTGAATTGTATCTTTTGAGATTCACTTGTTCAAAAATGGTCAGACAAAAAATTCAGGAAATCCAGTGATAATCTTTATAATATATTGGAAGGTGTTAATTCTAAATCTAAATAGACAATGAGGAAACAGTAGTTTGATTCATACCATCCTGTTTTATTGAGTTAAAGCTAGAAGCTAAAGGTACCACTTTTAGACTTTTGGAATCTAAATATAGAGACAACTGTAAGTAACCCAGGAATACTTGGAGAGACAAAAGCAGCAAAGGAAAATAAAAGAATTCCTGATACTTTTGTCCTGATATTTCCATGATAAGTATTATGCAGTCTGGATAAGACTGGCAGAAGGAGTTTGCTTTGCAATGCCATTGTTTTATGAAGGCAAATACACTTCTAACTGAAATTTTTTTTAGGAGTCACTGCTATATACTCCTCAATAGCTAACTTAAAACTGAAATGAACTACTTTGAAAAAAAAAAGTAAACATTTATTTTTCTAGAATTATTATGAAACACAGATACTCTCCCATCCTTTAGTGAAAAATACATTTTTATACCATGAATAAAGGGCTGGAATCTCAGTGTATCTGAGACAATAAGAACCAACCCTCTGAGATTACTGTACAAAAGCCAAACAGCCCACACCAAAATCAATCCCAGGAACTGGAAAAAAAAAAAAAAATTCAACTAGCAACGTGGCCTACATTCTGAATTTTTAAAAAATCCCAAACCAATAAAAAAACCTTTACAACTGAATTTTGTGTGTGGGTACATCTGTTAACAAAATGCATATATAGACAAAAAGAGAGGAAAACACCTCTCTCTGAAGACACTTTGTATATAAAGTTGAGTCATATCTCGGAATTTAGAATTTAAGAATCTGGAAGATGCTCAAACTTGGATAGCAGCATACACTGCAGATAGAGTTTTCATATTATTTATCTGAGCGCCAGAAAGAGGGGCATATGTTTACATTCAAACCTTGCCCCAGTTCACAGTATCTGGAAACAAGTTTGCAAAGTCATTACAGATATAATTAACTTGAAGTACTGGCTCAACCTGAAGGTCACCAGAAGGATGGCAAGCCCAGGGAAGGGCAGAGAAGTGGCCATTACAAACTGCTTACTGAGCTCATTGGAGACTCATTAGCGCAAACAACTGGTCCCATCAGACTGCTCAGAAGACTGGACAGCAGTTCCTGACTTCTAAAATGTGATGAGAGGGATCTGATTAAAAAAAATGTTACACATAACATTTTAAATAAACATGCTCAGTGTCCCTCCTGGAAAACAAGGCCTAATTGCCAGTGGAGGGCCCAACTAACAGCACAACTGGTCTGCCCAGAACTTTTAACTAATTAGCTAACATTTAAGATTTCAGCTAAACCCAGCTGGTTTAAAAAAAATCCATACATGGTGCAGTTCAAATTAATTCCATGAGAATCTTAACTGAATGATAACAGGATGGCAGAGACTGAAAAAGTATCACTGTATTCATGCAGCTGTGTAAAACCTCATTTGAAGAAACGATGAAAAAAAATCAGAAACTGATGATTTTGGAATATGTATTTTAATTTTTTCTAATAAAAAGCCTTTCAGAATTGTTTTATTGTTTATTTTTTTAACATATAAAGTATCAATGCACTTGTAAAAGTATATCTTTGAAAAACATTCACATTACTGGTAAGAATACATTTATAGTAACTCTGGCCAAACAATTAGACCTTCAAGAAACATTTAACAAATAAAAATATAAAATTTTAACATAACTATTTCAAAATTTTTTAGAAGTTGAAGTACACCGAAACTGTAAAACCTGATTTTTCTCTTGCTTTAAATGTCTGG